GGCAGCATTGGCAAGTGTGGGTTCCATCTCCATCTTCCCACGCAGACACTGGGAGAATGTGCAAACTCCACACAGACAAAAAAGGGTCGAGGCCCGAAACGTCAGCCTTCCTGCTCCTATGATGCTGCTTGGCCTGCTGTGTTCATCCAGCTCTACGCCTTGTTGTCTCAGATTCTCCAGCATCTGCAGTTCCTACTATCTCTCTCCACACAGACAGTTGCCCAAGGACAGGATCGAGCGCAGGTCCCTGGCACTGTGAGGTAGCAGTGCTCACCACTGAGCCACTGTGCCACCCCAAATTTCCCAGGAAGATTTTGATTTCAAATGATTGCTTTTCTTCACGCTGTAATATGGCCTAATTCCACCTAAATTAATTGGTATGAGAGATGACAAGCGTGCTCCAGTTTAATGAATCTGGATTTTCTGAAATTTTGGCTTATTATGGGCATCATTTTATTAGACTTCCTATTCTGCCAGTGAGAATAGCTATCAACTTTGAAACAGCCAGAATTTTGGGTCATCTGAAATTGACTGGTTGCAATTTCAGTGAATGAGTCAGTCATTCCAGCAACCCCAGAGTAATGTAAAAGCAACTTAGCTTGGAATAAACTAGGGAGTGAGTCTGGGGTACACTTGGCTGCACAAGATACTCCACTTACCAACTGAATGTTTTGCGTCTCGTGAAGAGGAGGCTTCCAGGAGTGCCATTTTCCAGCCTGCTTTAAATAGTTGTGGTGGATTCAGCTTTTATCCCTAAAACTTCATGAAACATTTCTGTGTGCTATGTGTTTGCTATTCACCAGGGAGAGCCACCGCACATTTAAAAATGTACAATGACTTGCTTGTTACAGTAAGACATGTTTCTATACAGAAGAGATATAAAATGCCCTTTACTTGTCTTCTTTATCAGAAATAACCTAGCCATTCACTTCTTGGGCAGTATGTCACATATTTTGTGGTGCTTGGAAGTCTATGGAATATTCTCATACCAGTCTGCTTTGCAACAAACATCTTGTTGTTTTCTTCAATCTTCTCCACATTGATTATGATCACAGGCTTCGGAAGGTCATTTGTCTGGCAACTGATCTTTCCAGCAGTACCTTTGCAGTCTTCCCATTGTGCTACCCAGTTATCTCTTAAGACAGTGCAATTGGTTATATGTTCAGTAACAACTTGCATTTATGTAGAGCCTTTAATATCAGAAAAGTATTCCATGGCATTTCATAGGCTACTAGTCCACTGCCTTCAACACTGCTCATTATTTTAACCTCTTTTTATGTGAAAATGTCGAGGAGTTGTACCAAGGAATATTTTTTCATTGGTAGTTTCAATCACAGTTTCCTTGCCTTACATTTTTTTGATATATATAAATGTTTGCTAAAGGACAAAGTACCTATGTACAATCATTAATGGTATTGTCAATCATTGAAAATACCTTTTGTCTTTTGAGCCTATCAGCACTTCTTACACAAGATGAAAGAGCAGATAGAAGACAGTTAAATATTCTGTCAACAGTGATAAACAAGATGACTTGTTATGGTAGGTTGTGGAATCATGAGCTTTATTGCATGCTGAAAGACTATGACCAGTCATTAGCTTTAGGCTGTTATGATCTCAAAATAGACTGTGCTTTTTAAAGTGGTTGTACTACTTTCTAAGTTCCTAATTGAAGTATGATCAGTTGAATTTGTACTGGAAGGTGCTTACACCTTTCATGGTCATTAGGTCCACAGAGGTAAGCAATAGGACATTTTGTGGCTGAGGGGAAAGAGCAGAGTTTAGTGCAGATTGTAGGCTGGGTGTATGCAGTGGCAGATGTAGCTAGCTTCTCCTTGGGAAAGCTGAGGGTTTTTGTTCTGCTGTAAAATATGCACTCTCTAGCGTGACCCACTAGGATGGAAACTCTAGGCGTGGGAAACTTGCCTGATTTTTCTTTTAATCTGATTCTCTCCCTAGTGTCCCGGCCAGTAGTTATTCCTCAATAGATGGAACAAAAATAGATTGTCTGGTCATTATAATATAGGTGTCTGTGGGAGCTTGCTGTGTACAACTTTGCTGGCACATTTCTAATATTACAACAATGACTAATGCTTCACAGTACTCAATTGCCTGTAAAGCACTTTGTAATCACTTAAACTTAAGCAGCATAATATAAATATAAGTCTATCTAACTGCAGCTTGTCTATGAGGATGCTAGCATTTAGCCTATTTGGTACGTTTGATAAATGTGTGAGAAAACCATTTCCCCTTTACGATATAAATATGCTCTTTGGAAAGGGCACAACTGTTAAAATGTTGAGCACTTTTAATGTATAAAAGCAGAAAATGCTGGAAAAACTCTTCAAACTCTTTGTAAAGTCATATTGCACTTGGAATGTTAACTCTGTTCCTTTCTGTACAGATGCTGTCAGACTTGCTGAGCTTCTCCAGCATCCATATATACTTTTATTTTAACTGTTTTCCTGCCCTACTTTGTTATTTTTGACATTTTTGTAGTTGTTAGTGGCGCTATATAAATACAAGTTATTTTCTCTCACACTGAGGCTTAAAAGACATTTTTGTTTTTGTTCAAATGTCAATACACTTCATTCCAAACAGATTATTTCTGATTGCCAGATTTAATAAAATCCCCAGTTAAAGTTGTGTGCAATTAATGGAATATATAAGGAAAGAAGTCAAAAATGGAATTTAATTACATGGGCTTCTCTTGGGAATTATATCCAAGTAACTGCTTTTAGAAGAAGAGGGTCAAGTTTCTCTTTCAGAAAAAATGGAACTGTCATACAAAATAACCCTATCAATCCTGTAACCAACGATAGCATTTACTTTCAATGTTTAGAGAGCAAAATTGTTGTTTGCTCAATATGTGCCACTTTTCCTCCCCTACTAATACCTGAATCAAAATTCTGCAGTTCTGGTCTCCCTGCTATAGGAACGATGTTGTGAAACTAGAAAGGGTTCAGAAAAGATTTATGAGGATGTTGCCAGTGTTGGACTGTTCGAGCTATAGGGAGAGGCTGAATAGACTGGGGCTATTTTCCCTGGAGCCTCAGAGGCTGAGGGGTGACCTTATAGAGGTTTATAAAATCATGAGGGGCATGGATAGGGTGAATAAGCAAGGTCTTTTCCCCAGGGTGGGGGAGTCCAAAACTAGTGGGTATAGCTTTAGGGTGAGAGGGGAAAGATATAAAAGGGAACTCAGGGGCAACTTCTTCATGCAGAGGGTGGTGCGTGTATGGAATGAGCTGCCAGAGGAAGTGGTGGAGGCTGGTACAATTACAACATTTTTTAAAAAAAATTCATAATCTCGTGCAACCAACATCAAGGCTTAAATTAATTAAAAGTAATAAATCCACAATGGAGGAAGAAAGTTTCACCATAGCATCACATGACCTGGCTTCAGATCCAAGACAACAAGGTGCAGGGCTGGATGAACACAGCAGGCCAAGCAGCATCATAGGAGCAGAGAGGCTGATGTTTCGGGCCTAGACCCTTCATCAGAAAAGGGGGAGGGGAAGGGGGTCCCGAAATAAATAGGGCGAGAGTGGGAGGTGGATAGAAGAGGGATAGAGGAGAGGATAGGTGGAGAGGAAACAAACAGGTCGAAGAGGCGGGGATGGAGCCAGTAAAGGTGAGTGTAGGTAGGGAGTTAGGAAGGGGATAGGTCAGTCCAGGGAGGACGGACAGGTCAAGGGGGCGGGATGAGGTTGGTCGGTAGGAGATGGAGATGCGGCTTGAGGTGGGAGGAGGGGATAGGTGGGAGGAAGAACAGGTTAGGGAGGCAGGGACGAGCTGGACTGGTTTTGGGATGCGGCAGGGGGAGGGGAGATTTTGAAACTTGTGAAATCCACATTGATACCATTGGGCTGCAGGGTTCCCAAGCGGAATATGAGTTGCTGTTCCTGCAACCTTCGGGTGGCATCGTTGTGGCACTGCAGGAGGCCCAGGATGGACATGTCGTCTGAGGAATGGGAGGGGGAGTTGAAATGGTTCGCGACTGGGAGGTGCAGTTGTTTATTGCCAACCGAGCGTAGGTGTTCTGCAAAGCGGTCCCCGAGCCTCCACTTGGTTTCCCTGATGTAGAGGAAGCCACACCGGGTACAGCGGATGCAGTATACCACATTGGCAGATGTGCAGGTGAACATCTGCTTGATGTGGAAAGTCTTCTTGGGGCCTGGGATGGGGGTGAGGGAGGAGGTATGGGGACAGGTGTAGCACTTCCTGCGGTTGTAGGGAACAGTGCCGGGTGTGGTGGAGCTGGAGGGGAGTGTGGAGTGGACAAGGGAGTCACGGAGAGAGTTGTCCTTCCGGAAAGCAGATAAGGGTGGGGAGGGAAAGATGTCTTTGGTGGTGGGGTCGGATTGCAGATGGCCAGCCCAGCTGAATGTGTGCATCTCGCATCTTTTTAAAATACCCTGCATGAAGCTCATTGGTCAGTCTCAATCCAGTTCTCAACAGGCATAAATCACACTACTAGAACTAAAAATAATGACAATCTTACTGTAACAGTTTGAAACATGGCTGAAGGATGTTTCCCTGTGCTGGATGCCAAAGCACTTTTCAGAGCAAATACAGGCAGTTCTCTGTATCCAGCTGTGCTATATTTCACCCGGGATTACTTGGTGTTGACACTGTGTGTTTGGAACTGGAAGTGTTTCTTTAGCTAGCACAAACATTACTTCCCTCCAGTATTAAATTACCACAACATGTAAATTGAGGGAAGGAAATTAAATCCCATGTGTGCTTAACAAACTTGTGGGAGGACCTATCTGAATTGAATGCTGTTACAGTGTTTAACATTACTTTAAGGCTTTCCTGCATCTAGTGATGCACCAGTTAGACTAAGTACATACTTATGTCTGCTTCCATAACTAGTTATTTGTGAAACCAGTTTCTAGGTCATCACTGACTTAATGTTACTAGGGAGATGCAAGTTAACTGATATCAACACGTATGTTTTGTCTGTCTAATCTTTCTCATTTATTGTTCCTTTATAACAGGTGCAACTATTTCTTTCTTTATGATACGTCAAAAGTTAAAGAAGAGGAGGATCCAACAAGAGCTGGTATCTGTTACTTTTTCCCTTCACAGGTGAGACACAGAATTAAAGTGGTAGTTTATTTCTTTTGGAGGGGAAAAGGGATAAGCCAAGATTCCTGTGTCAGTGTAAGTAAATTAACTTAATTTGTGAGCTAAGCGACAATACATTTCAGCGTCTTCATGTTTTATTTATTTTATCAAATGCCTTCTGAATTTACCCTGGATGATGAAGGTAACTGACTGTAAATGTTGCACTTTCTAGAAAGGGTTACTGAGTAACAGTTCGGAGTGAGAACCTTGCTGTGTTAGATTTTTTTTCATTTCTAAAGATCTTCCCAATTGTGCTGAAGATGTCAGATTACGCTGAATTACAGTTCTGTACACAAAGACAAACTCAAGTTGGCCTGTATTCCTCAACATTGGGTGTTTGGCAGGGTAGCAAGCAAAAGTGGGGGCCATACCTTTTCAGCTGAAACCAGCATGATCCTCATACAATCTCCATGTTGGCATACACCATGGGCAGTTACATGTGATGCTCGATTTATTTTCAGTGTCTGCAATACTTTGTTAATGAACTGCCATGCTAATGGAGATCAACTAGCCCAATGTAAAGGGACAGAAAACAGACAGAAGTCATTGTCCACATTGGCACAAATGACATAGGTAGGAAGAAGGAAGAGGCCCTGTGAGAGCAATTCAGGGAATTAGGTAGGGAGCTAAGATGCAGGACTGCCAGAGTAGTAATCTCAGGATTACTACCTGTGCCACAGGCTAGTAAGGCTAGGAACAGAGAGAGAGTACAGTGGCTACACCGCTGGTGTAGGAGGGAGGGCTTTAATATATGGATCATTGGGATGCCTTCTGGAGAAGGTGGGCCCTGTACAAGAAGGACAGGTTGCACCTGAACTGGAGGGACATCAATATCCTGGGCGGGAGGTTTGCTAGAGCTCTTCCGGAGGGTTCAAACTATCGTGGCAGAGGGTGTGGGAACCGGAACAACAGGCCAGTAAGTGCAAGGACTGGGGACGAAAGAGAGACTGAGATATGCGTAGCGCAGAGTAACAGCAGGCAGAGGGAAGTCACGGGGCTCAGAGGGCCTGGAATGTATTTACTTCAATGCAAGAAGTACAACAGGTAAGGCAGATGAACTAAGAGCAAAGATTACTGCATGAAATTATGATGTTATTGCCATTACAGAAATACGGTTAAAGGAGGGACAGGATTGGCAGCTTAACATTCCAGGATACCACTGTTTTAGACGGGATAGAAAAGGAAACAAATGGAGTGGGGGAGTTGCATTGCTGATTAGGGATCACATCACAGCTGTGGTGAGGGAGGACACAGAGAGATCCTGCATTGAGACATCATGGGTGGAGCTCAGGAATAGGAAGGGTAAAATCACAATGCTGAGGGTTTTCTGGTTGCGAGTCCTTAGCAAGATGGCGGCAGAGTTGGATGCTCCTGTCAGAGATCCTCTGCTCCACCTGTTCTTTATCCTCCTTTTTCCTTTTCTCCTCCTTTCTTTTCTCCTCTTTCTCTCCCCTCAGCAGCGGGGCCGACAGCAAGTCCAGAGCAGCGAGCTGCCGTGCCCCAGAACACAGCGAGCAGCGAGCCCCAGAGCAGCGCGGGGAAGAGCCCCGCAGCAGCAGGTGGGGGGAATCACACAGGAAGCGAGTGTGAGCCGGCGTCACGAGTGAGAGCAGGCAGCCCGTAGCTCGTGGGAGAAGGCAGGCGGCTGATGGGGTGTGAAGGGAGCAGGCAGCCCAAGGTGGTGACAGAGGGGCCGCATCCCCGGAGCGACGGAGAGGCCACGTCCCTGGAGTGACAGGGGGCCAAGTCTTGGAGGGATGAAGGGGCCGAGGTACAAATCCCGGTACAGCGCGACATACCAGGTTGCTGCTGAGTGCCGGTGAGGAGTGGACTGGTGGCTGGAGAGACGTGAGACAATTGCTGAATTTGGGCCTGGTGCCACATGCTGAGCTGCTCTTATTGTTATTAATTGTAAAAACTGTTCACTGTACTCCTATACAAGTACAAGTGACAATGAAGGATATTCCATTCTATGCTATAGACCTCCCAACAGTCCACGGGAGACAGAGGAGCAGAGACGTCGTCAGATACCGGAAAGGTGTGAAAACAGCAGGGTAGTTGTGATGGGTGACTTCAACTTTCCTCTTATTGACTGGGACTCCCTTAGATCCAGGGGCTCGGATAGAGAGCAATTTGCTAGTTGTGCCCAGGAGGATTTTTTGAGACAGTATGTTGACAATCCAACTAGAGAGGAGGCCATGCTAGACTTGTTATTAGGGAATGAGCCAGGACAGGCGATTGCTGTTTCAGTAGCAGAGCATTTTGGGCTTAGTGACCATAACTCCATAAGATTTCGAGTAGTCACAGACAAGGACAAAAGTGGCCCTCAGGTGAGGGGGCTTAATTGGGCAAGGGCCAATTGTGTCCAAATTAAGAGAGGAACTTGGAATGTGGATTGGAAGCAGCTATTTGAGGGCAAATCTACATCTGGCATGTGGGAGGCTTTTAAAGACCTGTTGATTAAAGTACAGGATGTGCATGACCTGCACAACCAAAGGATGGGAATTTCAGATTTCAGGAACCACGGATGACAAGGGAAATTGTAAGCTTAGTCAAAGGGAAAAAAGGAAGCATACGATAGGTCTAGGCAGCTACAAACTGACAAAGCCCTTGAGGAGTATAGAGAAATTAGGAAGGAATAGGCTAAAAGGGACCATGAAATATTCGAAGCAAACAGGGTCAAGGAGAATCCCAAGGCTTTTTGTGCATATATTCAAAGAAAGAGTGTAACAAGGGAAAGAGTATGCCCTCTTGAGGACAAAGGAGGGAAGTTATGCGTGGAGCCACAGGAAGTGGGAGAGATCATTAATGAGTACTTTGTATTGGTTTTCACCAAGGAGAAGGACATGACTGATGTTGAGGTCAGGGATGAGTGTCTGAATACTCTAGGGAAATGTCCGTATATTGAAGGAGGAAGTTTTGGGTATCCTAAATTGCGTTAAGGTAGACAAGTCCCCAGGACCAGATGGGATCTATCCCTGGTTACTGCAAGAGGCAAGCGAAGAAATAGCTGGGGCGTTAGCAGATATCTTCACATCCTTGTTGACCATAGGCGAGGATCGAGAGGACTGGAGATTAGCCAATGTTGTTCCCTTATTTAAGAAAGGAAACAGGAATAATCCAGAAAATTATAAGCCGGTGAGCCTGACATCTGTAGTGGGGAAGCTCTTGGTGAAGATACTGAGGGACAAGATATATGCACATTTGAAAGAAAATGGACTAGTTAGTGACAGGCAGCATGGTTTTGCATGGGAAAGGTCATGTCTCACCAACCTGATTGAATTTTTTGAAGAGGTGACAAAGATAATTGATGAGAGAAGGGCTGTAGATGTAGTTTATATAGATTTTAGTAAGGCATTTGATAAAGTCCCACATGGCACATTGGTACAAAAACTAAAGTCACGTGGGATTTGGGATGGGCTGGCTAGATGGATACAAAACTGGCTTAGTTATAGAAGACTGAGGGTAGCAGCGGAAGGGCGTTTTTCAGAATGGGGTCTGGTAACTAGTAGTGTTCCATTTGGATCAGTCTTAGGTCCTCTGTTGTTTGTAGTATATAAATGATCTGGAGGAAAATGTGGGTGGTCTGATTAGTAAGTTTACAGATGACATGAAGATCGGTGGAGTTGCTGATAGTGCCAAAGATTGTGAAAGGATACAACAGGATATAGATAGATTGGCAACTTGGGCACAGAAATGGCAGATGGAGTTTAATCTAAACAAATGCGAGATGATGCATTTTGGAGGATCAAACTTAGGTGTGAATTATACTGTAAATGGCAGAACCCTTAGGAACATTAACATACAGATGGATTTGGGCATGCAGGTCCACAGTTCCTGAAAAGTGGCAACACAGGTGGCCAAAGTGATTAAGAAGCATATGGCATGCTTGCCTTCATCAGCCGGGGCATGGAGTACAAGAGTTGGCAAACCATGTTGTAGCTATATAAAAACCTTGTTAGGCCGCATTTGGAGTATTGTGCGCAGTTTTGGTCGTGGAAGCTTTGGAGAGAGTACAGAGCAGGTTCACCAGGATGTTGCCCGGTCTCGAGGGCATTGGCTATTAGGAAAGGTTAAAAAGGCTAGGATTGTTTTCACTGGAAAGACAGCGGCTGAGAGGAGACTTGATAGAGGTCTACAAAATTATGAGAGGCATAGAAAGGGTGGATAGTCAGAGGCTTTTTCCCAGGGTTGAAGTTTCATTTACAAGGGGGCATAGATTCAAGGTGAGAGGGGGAAAGTTTAAGGGAGATGTGTGAGGGAAGTTTTTCATGCAGAGAGTGGTAGGAGCCCAGAATGCACTGCTGGAAGAAGTGTTGGAAGGAGGCACGTTGGCGATATTTAAGAGGCATCTAGATGGTTACATGAATAGGGAGGGAACAGAGGGATATGGACTGAATAAGGGCAGGTTTGTTTTTTAGTTTAGTTAGGGCGTGATGATTGGCACAGGCTTGTAGGCCAAAGGGCCTGTTCCTGTGCTGCACTTCTCTTTTGTTCATTTTGTTCTTCGGAGGTCCACAGCATCACGTGATATCAAAAATAGCTAAATTTGCTTGATACTGCACACACTATGGGCCCTGACAAGTTATAAAGTCATAGTCATAGAGTCATACAGCACAGGGATAGATCCTTTGGTCCAACCAGTCGATGCTGATCATGATCCTAAACTATACCAGTCCCACCTGCCTGCGCTGGGCCCATATCCCTCCAAACCTTTCTTATTCATGTACTTATCTGAATGTCCTTTAAACGTTGTAACTGTACCCACATCCACCACATCTTTGCTTTGTGTTTCTGTTTTTCTGTCAGTTGTATTAAAAACTTGTGCTTAAGAACTTGCCATGCCTTAACCAAGTGATTCCAGTATAGCTCCAACACCAGCTTCTACCTGGCAATGTGTAAAATTGCCCAGGTATGTTCTGCACACAAAAGCAAGACAAATCCAACCTGGCCAATTACCATCAGTAGTGTACCTTCAATCATTAGCAAAGGGGTGGAATGGGTTGTTGACAATGCTATCAAGTGGCATTTGTTCAGCAATGACTGGCTGATTGACGGTTTGGGTTCCACAGAGGCTGCTGACCTCACAACAGCTTTGGTCTAATCATAGTCAAAAGAGGTGAATGCCAGAGGTGAGATGAGTTTGCTACAGTTGATATCAAGGCAGTATTTGACCAAGTCTGTCATTAAGAAGCCTTGGCAAAACTGGAGTCAAAAGGAATTGAGGGAAAACTCTGCCGGTTGGAGTCATATCTGGCACAAAGGCAGACGGTTATGTTTGTTGGAGGTCAATCATCACAGCCCAGGGCATCGTTGAAGGAGTCCCTCAGGGTAGTATCCCAGGACCAATAAATGACCATGCCTCTCCATCATAAGACCATCATTCAGCGCCATTCTCAACTCTTCAGGTACGGAAGCAGCCTGCATACCTATGCAGCAAAATCTGGACAACATCCAGGTTTGGGCTGATAAATAGCAAATAACATTCACACCACACAATTGTAGGCAATGACCATCTCAGCCAAGTGAAAATCTAATCTTCCCTTAAGGTTCATTGTCAATAACATTTGCTGAATTTCCCAAACATGAACATCCTGTGACTGAAACTGAACTGGAGCAGCCATATAAATGTGAACAACATGCTTCCTTACTCCTTATTCACAAGGCACAAGTCAGTGATGTGATGGAATATTCTCCACTTGCTTGGATGAGTGCAACTCCAACAACACTTGAGAAGCCTTTCGGAATGAAGCAGTCCCTTGACACCTTCACTACTCACTCCCTCCACCACCAATGCACAGTAGCGGTGTTCTGTACCATTCACAAGATGCACTGCAGCAACTCATCAAGGTTTGTTTAACAGCACCTTTCACACTTGAGACCTCTGTCACCTGGAAGAACCACATCAGCAGATACTTAGGAACACCACCAAGTTCTCCTCCAAGCCACTCACCATCCCGACTTGGAATTCTATCACCATTCCTTTACAGTTGCTGCATCAAAATCCTGGAACTTGCCCCTTAACAGGGCTTTGGATGTACCTTCATCCCAAAGGCCTGCAGATGTGCAAGAATGCAGTTTTCCACCACCTTCCCAAGGACAATTAGAGATGCGCAATAGATGCTGGCCTAGCCAACAATGCTTGCATCCTGTGAACAAATGAATAAAAAATTTCACCTGATTACCAGCTAAATTTAGGAGATCTGAAGGTCCTCTTTCATTTTTTAAAACCATCAGTTTTTTGTTTGTCTTTTCATTAGTAGCTGACTTCTCCTCAAGGTGCTATTGCATACAGAGTAATGTTTAATATCTGAGCGACTGTTTACATGGGTAAACTTAGATTGTGAAATTAAGGTTTTTTGCAAAGATTTGTAGCTCGGGTTGTGGACGAAGTTGTTGGCTTGCTCACCGAGCTGGCTGGTTCTCTTATAGACGTTTTGTCTCCATGCTAGGTAACGTCATCCGTGTAGCCGCCATTGAAGTGATGTTGTTCTACTCCGCTTGGTCCTTATATGATCTGGTCTGTTAAGTTGGGCTGTGTCATTTCCGGTTCTGTTCTGAGCGTGGGTTTGTATATGGGGTCTAATTCCACACGTTTGTTGATTACATTACAGGTTGAAAACCAGGCCTGTATAGGAATTCCTGTGCGTATCTGTGGTTGGCTTGAGCTAGGATGGTCACATTGTCCCAGTTAAGTTGATGGCCTTTGTTGTCCGAGTGCACTGAGATGAGGGAAAGTTCATTGTGTCGTTTTGCTGCTAGCTGGGGTTAGTGTATCTTGATGGCTAGTTTCCTTCCGGTCAGGCCGATATAACGTTTGTTGCAGTCACTGCAAGGTATTTTGTAAACTATGTTGGTCCTGCATGTCGTGGGTATGGGTTCTTTGTTCCTTGTGCGTGTTTGTTGTAGAGTGGATGTGGGTTTGTGTGCCACCATGATTTCTAGTGGTTGCAGGAGTCTCATTGTCAGTTCTGATATGTTCTTGATATAGGGTAGTGTGGCCAGTGTATTGAGGCATACTATGTCCTCTTCGCGTTGTCTATCTAGTAGGCAACTGCGGACGAAGTTGTTGGGTATCGGTTGTGAGCAAAGACCTTGTATAGGTGCTCTTCCTCCTTCCTGCGTTGTTCTGGCACGTTGCAGTGAGTTGTGGCCTGTTTGAATAGTGTCCTTACACAGCTTTGTTTGTAAACATTGGGGTGATTGCTGTGGCAATTGAGGATTTGGTCAGTGTGGGTTGCCTTCCTATAAACTATGGTTTGGAACTCCCCGTTGGTCATTCATTCTACCCTGATGTCTAAAAATGGTAGTTGTCTTCCTCTTCTCTGGTAAATTTGATCCTAGTGAAAATGTTGTTGATGAGATGGTGTGTCTCTTCTAACTTAGTACGTTTAATGATGACAAACGTGTTGTTCACGTATCGAATCCACAATTTTGGCTGTATGCGCGGGAGGGCAGTGCATTCCAGTCTTTGCATGACTGCCTCTGCAATAAGTCCCAAGATGGGTGACCCCATAGATGTGCCATTGATTTATTTGTATATTTGGCTGTTAAAGATGAAGTGTGTGGTGAGGCATAGGTCCAGTAGTCTGAGTATGTTGTCCTTACTGATGGAGCTGTTTGGAGTCGGCGTTTCTGCTGCATCCAGAAATGTGGCAGTTGTTTCTTTGCCTAGGGGTATGTCAATGAACGTGAATAGTGCTGTGACATCAAAGGATACCATTGTCTCATCGTCATTGATTGTGAGTATTGTCACATTTGTCACCTGGAAAGAGGTTAATGCTGTTGTGTCTGTTGTCTGTTGTCTGCATTTTAACATCTGACTTATTGGTGAGCAGGATTCAGAATGCAGTTGATTTTCAAATCCCAGAGATCTGTATCATTGGGGCCTATCGGGCTGTATGGTGACTCAGTGATTATTTCTGCTGCCTCACAGTGCCAGGGACCTGGGTTCGATTCTAGGCTTGGGTGCCTGTCTGTGTGGAGTTTGCATGTTCTCCCCATATCTGCTTGGGTTTCCTCTGTGTGCTTCGGTTTAATTAAACAGTCCAAAGATGTGCAGGCTAGGTGGATTGGCCATGCTAAAATTGCCCCATAGTGTCCAGGGACATGCAGGGTAGGTGGATTAGAAATGGTAAATGCAGGGTTATGGGGTGGAGTAGGGGATGTTGGGTCTGGGTGGAATGCTGTTTGGTTGGTTGGTGCAGACTCAGTGGGCTGAATGGTCTCTTTTCACACTGTAGGATTCTATGATTCTATTCTAGCACTCCATTAGCTACCTAGATGAAATCAACCAAAACCATACCAAGTGGAAGTTGTCCTCCCGAACTATGTGGCTCAGCTTTGACTGTGCCTTTGCGAATTTAGCACTGGGAGTCCCTTGTTTAAATTTAAAAATGTGTTCAGGTAATATGCAACATTTCATTCACAAATAAAAGTCGACTGTAAAGCTTTCTTTCCAATTTAGCTCCATCTTTTTCCCCGTCTCTTTTGACTGGTTCTCTAAATCCTAATCAACTTTTCTTTAACAGACTACTGTTGACCAACAGGAATTGCTGTGTGGGCAGATAGCTGGTGTAGTTTGCTGCATTAATGAAATTTCTGGATCACCGCCCAGTTTAATCCACTTGCGAAAGCTGAAGTTTGCTATCCGGTTGGATGGGGAATACCTCTGGGTATGTATAAACGCTTTTAACATCAGAAGGATGAATGTCTATTAATCAAGACAATGCAGATTTTGAGTCCTTGCTGGCTATAATTATTTTTGAAAGAGATTTACTCTGTTCTGTTATAGGCTCTTGGATGTGCCGTAGAAGTCCCTGATGTGAGCTGTAAGCGATTTCTGGATCAACTTATAGGCATCTTTACATTTTACAATGGATCCAGTAAGCATGTATACCAGGTAATGCTTTGTAATTGCTTTGCAGAACTCAAGTTCTGAAGAATGGTCACTGGACCTGAAACATTGACTTTTTGTTTTTCTCTCCACAGATGCTGAGTTTCTCCTGCAATTTCTATTTTGTTTCCAACTACTAATTTTTTATTTAGCTCCCTGTGTTGACTATATCTTTACTACTTGTACTGATCAGTCAGTCATGTAATTCTTATATTCCTGGATGACCACCTTATTAAACATCATCTACCTTTAGTTTGACTGGACCTTGTGTTTGTTTGTGCTATTCATGATGACCTTGTGCTTATTTGGTGACTGTAAAAACTTGACATCACCCGTATTGATCTGATCAAAGTAGGTCCAAGCATTCATCCAGGTCATAGCCAGTGATAAATAAAATTGTGTTTGCAACTTGTTATAGAGTCATGGAGATATGCAGCACGGAAACCGACCCTTAGATCCCACTCGTCCATGCCGACCAAATAGCCTAAATTAATCGAGTCCCATTTGCCAGCATTTGGCCCATATCCCTCTAAACCCTTCCTATTCGTGTACCCATCCAGATGCCTTTTAAATGTTGTAATTGTACCAGCCTCCACCACCATCTCTGGCAGCTCATTCCATGCATACACTATCCTCTGTGTGAAAAAGTTGCCCCTTAGGTCCCTTTTTAAATCTTTCCCCTCTCACCTTCAACCTATGCTCTCTAGTTTTGGACTTTCCCACTCTGGGGAAAAGACCTTGGCTATTCACCCTTTCCATGCCCCTCATGGTTTTATAAATCTCTAAAAGATCATCGCTTGGGCTCTGACCCTCCAGGGAAAATAGCCCCAGCCTATTCAGCCTCCCCCTATAGCTCAAACCCTCCAACATCCTTGTAAATCTTTTCTGAACCCTTTCAAGTTTCACAACATCATTCCTACAGCAGAGAGACCAGAATTGAACATAATATTCCAAAGGTGACCTCACCAACAGTTGGAGATTCAAGAAGTAGGGAGTTATATTCTGAGAGTTAGAGCCATACCCGTTCAGGACAAATGTTTGGGGCTCTCTTCTAGTGGATTAGAATTAGAATTAAAATTAGATTTTAATTGTCACGTGTACTCAATAAAGGAATACAGTGAAAAGCGTAAAAAGTCACCATCTTGGTCACTGAGATAGATAAATTGTTGTTGAGCAACTGATATTAATGGATATGGGCTAAAGGTATGTAGGTGGAGTTAGGCCACATATCAAGCATTGAATAGCGGGGCTGGGTTTGAGGGGCTGAATGGCCCACTCTTGCATTGGATCCTCCAATACTGTGATAATTTAACATTAAGGATGCACTCTTTCACCAAAGCGGCTCGAGTCTCCAGTGCCCAGTGAGTCCATCACCGGGTAGGATTCGCACACGGTGGTGGTGGGCAGCTTGTAGACACACTCGATGGTTGAGCTCAACTCGGACATCGTCTTGTAGTTCTCTCTCTTGGGCTGGGCCAGATTAGGCCGCAACCCGTTCCAATGGAAACCAAAGCAAGCTACATACCGGCCCGCGTCCACACACATTGTTTAGTGTTGCAGTTTTACAAAAAAGTGCAGAATCTAGTGTAAGATCTCATTAAGACCAAGAGAATTGTGGTATTTCTCAGAACCCATTGGGATATAGAGTAATTAGTTTTGAATGGAAATAAACTGAGAGTAGTAACTGACTTGCCTAAATTGTCTTATGAACTTGACTCATACGAGTTTTTAACAGCAGGTAGCAAAATCCCTTGACAAAACATCCGCTGCTTGTGTTTCTGACTTTAAGAAGAAAGTTTCTGCCAATCAAAAAGAGGGCTGTGCAACCATCAGTTTGAGTATACAAAGTCAACAGTGAACATTTGCAAATTTAGCAGAGCAGTTCCAAGTGCAAAAGGAGTCTAAGGGGGAGGCGATGGCCTTCTAGCTGCACTGTTAATCCAGAGACCCTGATGACATTCTGGGGACCCAGGTTCGAATCCTGCCATCGCAGATGGTGGAATTTGAATTCAATAAAATACCTGGAATTAAGAATCTAATGATGACCATGAATCCATCGTTGATTGTCAGGAAAACATCCATCTGGCCCACTAATGTCCTTTAGGGAAGGAAACTGCCATCCTGTCTTGGTCTGGCCTACATGTGACTCTAGACACACAGCAATGTGGTTGACTCTCAACTGCCCCTCTGCAATTAGGGATGGGCAATAAATGCTGCTCAGCCAGCGATGCCTTCATCACATTGATGAATAAAGGAAAAAAAAGTTAAAACCCTTTTGATAAGCTCAGAAATCATCATTTGCTGCATCAGCACAATATATGATTTTCCGTTTTCGAATTCAGACAAGCAAATGATTCTGCATGAAATTGCCAAGTTGTATCAAATTTTAGGCATTTTTTTTATTCTGTGTATTTGCACTGCTCGGAATTGTATTGAAACTCTCGCAGCACATTTTATGTTGAATTTTTAAATGAAACTTTTCATCCTTTTGATCTGGGGATGGATTCAGTTGGAGCAACACTTGCCTTCCAGAGCCTGTTGGAATGCAGCTCTTGTTTTTTCTGAATAATTTCTTATCGTTTATGTTTTTCGATATCCATTCCCAGGTACAGAACCAAGAGGAACTCGCCCATCAGTGGAATCTGTACATGGAGCACATTCAACAAAACAGCTGTGACCTGCACCAGACTTTCAACTCCTTATGTAACCTGGACAAGACTGAAGTACGTATAATTCAGGGAGACTATCAGATCCTTTTCTTGCAGTACTATCTGAAAGGTTAAAACAAAAATAGCAAACCAATAACCAATTTATTCACTGGAATAAAAACCAAAAAAAAACTGTGAATGCTGTAAATCAGAAACAAAAACAGAAATTGCTGGAAAAGCTCACCAGGTCTGGCAGCATCTGTGGAGAGAAATCAGAGTTAACGTTTTAGATCCGGTGACCCTTCCTCAGTGTTTGTTGTCCGCTGGAATAGCTGGTCTTAGAATGGAAACTTATTTTACTGGACAGAGCCATAAAATAATAAAACACGGGAGGAGATAATTCTGCCTATGACAGTACAATGAAAAAAGCTGTCCAAATCATTCCATGCCCCTTAACTTTCTTCTTTTCCTGTAACTTTGCAATTTTGTTTTCCTCTTAAGTATTTAGCGAATTTCCTTTTGAACATTACTATTAATCTGCTTACTAACAACAGTGGATAATATCCTTTCAGGTGTGCATTTAAATCAAATTAATTTGGCTGAATTGAACCTGTTAAGTACTGTTAAGAAAATAGGACTTGCATTTATATAATGCTTTATTCAAGAAACATAGAAACAGGAGTGGGTAATCTAGCCCCTCAAGCCTGTTATGATATACAGCGAGATCATGACCAATTTGCAACTTAATTCTATAATTGTTTCTTTCCATCCAGAAGTCTCACTTTTAAAATTAATGATTGAATTGCTGTTGTCAAAACAGAATTCCGAATTTCCAAACTGCCCTTTTCACATCAAAGTCTTTCCCAATTTCATTCTTGAAATGCCTGCGTGTAATTTTTACTGATGCTGTGCTCCCTAGATCTACATTTCATAGGAGCAGGAGTAGGCCATTTGGTTCCCTCAAGCCTGCTCCATCATTCAATAAGATCATGGCTGATCTGGCCCAACTCCAAATACCTACCTCGGGCCCATATCCCTGACTTAATAAAAATTTGCCTGTTTCAGATTGAAATTTAACAATTTCATTAGCATTGACCATCATTTTGGGGAAGAGAGTTCCAAACATCCACTACTCTTTGCATGTAGAAGTGCTTTCTAACATCTCTTCTGAATGGCCAGGCCCTAATTCTCCTGTTTCTAGAATCTTTAACCTGTGGAAATCAATTTATCTAGCCTGTCTTTCCCTGTACATATCCTGAAGACCTCAATTAGACCACATCCTAACCTTCTACATTCTCCAGAATAAAGGCCTAATTTGTCTGATCTCTCCCTATAACTTAACCCCTGAAGTCCAGGTATTATCCTTGTAAACATGTGTGAACTCTGTCCAAAGCCGAAACAGCCATGCTAAGGTGTGGTGCCCAGATATGCTGTCAGTACTCCAAATGGGTTTTTTATAACTGCAGCATAACGTCTGTATCCCTATGCTCCAGCCCTTTTAGATATGAAGGCCAGCATTCCATTGGTCACCTTGACGATTTTCTGCAATTGTTTATGGCATTGTAAAGAGCTATGCACCTGAACTGCCAAATATTGTTCGACATCCACTCTATTTAACTTAGTCTTCTTAAAAAAGACCCTGATTTATCCTTTATCAGACTGTAATGGATAATCTCATGCTTATATTAAAATCCAAGCGCTACCGCTTTGTCCATTCACTTAATCTATCAACATCCTGTTGTAATTTTACGCAGTTGTCAACATTGTCTGCAATGCTGTCCAATTTTGTGTTGTTCAGCGTTTTTTTTTTAGTATTATCAAGTTTTTATGCCATTATCCAAGTTGTTAATGAATATTGTGAATAATTGAGGCGCTAACACAAATCCCTGTAGGACACCACTAGTTATGTCCTGCCATTTTGAGTACTTACCCATTATTTCCAACTCTCTGTTCCTGCCACTCAACCAATTTCCTATCTATGTCAGTAATTGCCCTCAATTCTGAAGGCTTCCAGCTTAGCTAACCGTCTCCTGTGGGACTTTATTAAGAGCCTTCTGGAAGTCCACATAAACAACATCCATGGATTTACCCCTGTCCGCCATCTTTGTCACTTCACAAGTCTCTGAAGCTTGTTAGACATGAGCTACCCTTCATGAATCCATGCTGACTCCCCCTGATTAACTGAAAATTTTTGAGATGGCCAATTACCCTATCTTTGAGTATAGACTCCAATGATTTCCCCACCACAGTTGTTAGGCGACCTGATCTGTAATTGACTGGTTTCCCTCTGTCACCTTTCTTAAAGAGTGAGTGACATGAGTGAATTACCAATCCAGAAGTACACCCCTTTAATCCAGGGAACTCTGAAAGATTGTTGTTGGGGCATCTGTGGTGCGCTATCCCGCCTCCTTTAACACCCGTGGATGGAAACCATCAGGCCCTGGGGATTTGTCATTCTTCAATAACGAGGAAATTATAATTGATAAATTACTTTAGCTAATTTTATTTCATACGCTGTCCCTGATCCTCTGTTAATTTCTTTGGGACTTCTGCAACCTATCCTCCTTTGCTGCTATGAATACTGAAGCGAAATAAATGCTCAGCATTGAAATAACTCCACAGAGGCAAGTATCCTATCACCAATTCACACTTTACTTGCATGTGGAAAGTCTTTGACACTGATCCAGCTCCCTCAGAGTCAGCTCTGACTGAGCAGAACATCTGACTCTCCTGTTTATATCTGTCGGCCAGTTAGAGGAGGGAACCACACCAATTAGATGGTGATTGACAGTCTACTGCAAAGCTTTCTTTACATTTTAAAACTTTTTGTATGGTGTAGACTCTGATTTGTAAGGCATCGCCCTGAGAAAATAACCAGAGAATAATGGTTACCTATTTTGTTGAGTAGAAAGGGGTGCAGTGTGTGTACATATTCTTTCTGTCTGGACCCATTTGTATTAATGTGTGTAACTTCCAGATATGCAGGAGCCCGACTGTGAACCTTAAATTGGTTATCAAAACAAGTGTTTGCAAAATCTGTATTAATTAGCAAAAGTTGTCCAATTGTAGAATCGCAACTAATGTTGTATGCTGTTTTGAATTTTGCAAGCATGGCTGGTTTTGTTAGGTCAGTACCTTGTTTATTGCAAGCAGCCAAAGGCGTATGCTGTTTTGACGCGATGTGCCAGTCTTTGAGATGTGTGGGCTTCATGTGTAGCATCAGACCAGCACTGAAATTCATCTACCACATTACAAATTGGGGTGATGGACAGAACGTTTTTACAGCCTGATGACAGCAAGCTGTTAGTGGTGAACGCTACTTGCGTTGCTACAGCAAAGTAGAAGCTTGTAACAGCTAGCTTCACCTGCTGCTCATACAGGGGCAGTATGGTGGCTCAGTGGCTGATACTGCTGCCTCACAGCACCAGGAACCTGAGTTCAATTCCACCTTCAGGCGACTGTATGGAGTTTGTAAATTCTCCCCGTGTCGGTGTGGGTTTCCTCTGGGTGCTCCGCTTTCCTCCCACAGTCCAAAGATGTGCAAGCTAGGTGGATTGGCCATGCTAAATTGCCCATAGTGTTCAGGGATGTGTAGATTAGGTGGGTTACAGGGGATGGGTCTGGGTGGGATGATCTGAGGGTTGGGGTGGACTTGTTGGGCCAAAGGGCCTATTTCCACACTGTAGGGATTCTATACTTCTATGATATAGTTGAGGTATCTTGGCCTTCCAGGGTAATCTGAGGTCTTTCAGGACCACTGGCTTGGGCCAGTTCTGGAGTTTGCATGATACTCAGTGGGAAATGATCCGATTGGGAAATCAATTATCCTGCAAAATGCTTTTGATATATCCTACTTCAGCATCAAGCTTGCACGATGAACAATAAAAGGGTTGCTAATCAGGCCAGTCTTTCAAATCCATTTGTGACAGCTTTGCCAATTTCCTTAATCAGTCAATATCCCTTTGTAATGATCCATCTCCATCTACATTGCTTAGAATTTGAACAAATATTTACAATGCTTCAAGTTATTCTGAAGAGCACCGATTGTTTATATGTGGGGCAGTGCTGCAGCTGTTTTCTGTGTAAAAAAATCAGTGAAATGGGTAAGTCATGATTGAAGGCTAAGGGACTCCTGCATGAGTTGCACATCCCTTAATTCTAAAGACTGTGCCACATTATTCCATCAGTGTATCAGACGGCTCCTGCTGTGAGGCACAGAATAACATCATTGGGGCAGATTCTCACCTATAATAATACATCCTATCATTTGTATGAAGCCTCGATGATTGTACTTGGTTGGGGGTGGGGGGTAGATTTCAAGTACAATAAAAATATTAGTACGGCAGAAATTTCATAGTGTAACTTTGAGGTATTGCTGAAGTTTTAAAAGTGGCTCACCATGGTAATCAATTGGCTTTCATAATTGTGCGCTGATTAAAATTTCACTTGGCCAAAATCTTGGCTTCACCATGTGTTGATCCGAAGTTGGCTTGTGGCTTTCCAAGACCGGCTTTTCTGATCCAGTCCTCTGCTCTATCTGTCTTCTAACAAAAGGTGGATCCCCTGCTGCTGCTCAAAGCTGCACTCATCTTACAGACTTGTCAGCGCTGCCCAGAGATCCTGGCTGGTTGCATCCTTTATACAAACCTGTAAGTTTGCACTGTACACTACTTACACATTACTTTCATTTTTGGAAGGCAACATCTATTACTTAATAGCTTTTGTCATATGCTTATTTTTGAGGTACATCTCTTTTAAATTGCAATATTTTTTACTTTGAATGTGTAAACCAGGTTCACCTCCCACTGCCCAGTACAAAATGAATGAGAAATAACTCCAGCACCATCTGGTAGTCACAGAACTCCATATACCAAGGCTTCTCTGATTTGTGCTTCGGGTTAACTGATTTGGATTAGGGCAGAGGTGGAGATATCACAGTCAGCTTTAGATTCTTGGGCAAGAGACGGGGAAGAAACAAGCACGCTCATTGCACTTGTACACGTCTTTGGACTGTTGAGGACATGGTCATGCTTATCTGTGATGTCCTCATAGTCAAATAACCAGTTGACAATCCTTGCCCAGACTTGTGCAACTTTGACTATGACCAGAAGGCTGTTGGCAGGCTCGTAAAACTCCAGTACTGGTCGCAGTTTTCAGATGGAATCTGGAAAATATTGGGACGTAGGAAATTGACACATTGAAATAATTTTTCATAGATGCGAAAATTAGTGTTAGATTCATATGGTCTCTGTCCTAATATTTTATGCTGATGTACACAATAACATGTATTGATGGAAAAGAATACATTTTGTTGAAACGTTTTGTCTCCTCAACTTTTTGTGGCCAAAATTATCCAGATGAGTGAAGGATGAAAACTTGGCCAAAATGTGTACTTGTTCAATAACGCACAATTTCTGTATTATCAAGCCAGTACTTGTAAGTGTTCTGTTTTGCAGAATTGTCAGCACTCAGCTTCCACCTGCAATAACAGCAAAAATACTGGCGTATCAACCCAGTGTTAACAGTCAGGTGAGTCACTGGATCACTCATACACTGGAGTGTTCACAAACTATATCTTCAATGTTCAAGCACTGAGTGTAATGCTACATTTTAATTGTTCAACATTTGCAGATCTGTGCAGCAGCTTCCTACTTTTAAAGGTACTGAGGATTCTTCAGTGTTGAAAGTGTTAATTCACGACACTGCACCACCACTTTCTAATGGAAGGTTGACCTTTGACTGTAAGGGGCACCTTTTCTGAGCATGTGCATGCGCAATTTTCAGCCAGTCTGTGGCAAACCAAATTTCGGTAAAACAAGGAACTTAGGTTGCTGTACTTCTTCATCACAAGATGTCGTAGTTTATTTGTTACATTCTCTGTTTGACTAACATCCGATTGAAGTGCATCCTTGACACTGGTGTGGTACTGGAATTTTCACCAAGCTGGCCTCAAACTGAGATACAGTGTTGAAATTATTGTCTTGTGTTAGCGTTCTAAGAAAACCTGTAAATAGTAGTCTCCTGGAACTGTAGCTATTATTTCAATGTGGAGCTGGTGCAACACAGCAGGCCAGGCAGGATCACAGGAGCAGGAAAGTTGACGTTTCGGGTCAGGACCCTTCTTCAGAAAAATCAGAAGTGATAGATGCAGGTACAGTTACAACATGTAAAAGACATTTGGCTGGCTACATGAATAGGAAAGGTTTGGAGGGATGGATGGATACATTTTTCTGAAGAAGGGTCCTGACCCAAAACGTCAACTTTCCTGCTCCTCTGATGCTGTCTGGCCTGCTGTGTCCTCCAGCTACACACTGTTTATCTTTTGACTCCAGCATCTGCAGTTCTTACCATCTCTGAGTGAGCTATTATTTCAACATTTTTTTGTGAGGCAGCAGAGATTATTTTCACTTCCCATCACAAATACAAAGTATTTCAAACACAGTCATGGATTAAGTGCAATGGCTGTATGATGGGAAGTTTTTACAATCATGGACAAGGGATACAAAAAGACCTTGTGGTTTATAGTTAATATTTTATCTAGCTTTTCATAACCTCTCCTGTCTTCTTTCCTCCATTTTATTCCCTCTCCTTGCGTCCCTCACCCTGAACTCCTACCCCAGCACTCCTGTTGCTGTCTCCCTCTTCATCCACCTCACTCCTCTCTACCCACCTAGCTTTCTCTCCTTTTCTCTCTCCGCCTCACTTACAGTTCCCTCTCTCTCACACATCAATCCCTCTTTTTATCCACCTCCCTCATTTCCTTTTTTGTGATGACCGCTTCTGTTGAATTGTGTCCTCTTGCAAGTTCGAAATAAACAGCCTTATATATTCTTCTTACCCCCTACACACCAAACTGTGTTGAAATTAACTTGGGCATGACTATAAAACATGCTTTGCCAAGACTTTAAGGCTTAGAAGTTCATAACTCTTTCAACTTTCTGTTCCTGTTATGTCTTGGCTTTTACAATGCTAGTACAGCTTCAGCTAACCACTTTTTTTCCCCCATCTTTCTCCTTTTCTGTCCTTTTCAATATTTGGTGACCTGCACCTTGGAACATGGCCCTTCCTTGGGATTTCTGAATAAAGCAAATTTTCTCTTCTCTCTCAAAGTACTCCATCCATTGACCAGAACCAAGAACTATGTCTCATAGGTTGATGTAGAATGTTTGGACATTGACAACAAAATTTAACTGAGTCACTGCCTTTTCTTTCAGAATCTTCCTGAGAATACAGGTAAGATTTATTTTATTTCCGGTCAGTTCCCATTCTAGTTTCTTTCTCTCCTGAATGTGTTATCTTGTGTGACCTTTTCACAGTCTTCCAAATACCTTGTTCATTATGATATGAGCTTTAAAAGTTATTGTCAGAAACCTAACTAACCAGCAATCAGACACTTATACCTTGGTTTGTGTAATTTCACTACAATTTTGCTACCAGTTTTGAACGTAATTGCAGAAACAGCTAGCAGCTAGACATTCATCACATTTTAAGCTTACTTCTTGATTTTTCTTGTTTTTTTCACAAAAATATCATTGCATTTTGTGTCTCCTTATGCATAACAAAGTTGCAGTTCTGTAACACTTCTTCAGTCTTCATTCAGGCCAGACCATAAGTTCATTTGAAACTGGCTGGGGAAGAGGGGATGGAATAACTCATAGCGGGCTTAACATTACTCATTTCTCTAGCTTTGGAAACTATTGATCCCATATTTCTGGCAGTTTAGTCAGAGACAGTAGACAAAACAAAGATATTTTTGCTTCTTTTGTTACCTATTCTGTATCCGTTTGATATATACCTTTAGTATCCATGCTGTTTTGGTGAATTTTGAGAGTGAATTTGAGATTAATCTCAACTTTCCCCTTTTCTTGTATCCAAAGACTGACAGTGTGGAAATTCTAATCACTTTCCAATAGCTGATTCTGATTCAATACATGCTTATTTTCTAGTCCTTTGGATAGCGTTTGGGAATGACAACCCCCACTGGTAATTCCTCTTGCTACCCGGGAACTCAACATTTCTGTAATTAATTTTAGTGCCACCGGCAAAGATCCAGTGCAACAAGGGCCAGGAATTAAACCCAACGTCTTCCTGTGGCTCAGTTAGTAAACTGAGCAATAAAAAGGAGGGATTCATCTATGGATGTACAAAGTAAGAGCAGAAATAAATTTAGCCCTTCGACCACCTCTGCCATTCAATAAGATTGTGGCCAGATCTATTTCTACTTCAAAATCCAAGTTCCCATATTCCTCTGATTTAACTCTTGATTCCCCTGCCTAACAAGAATCTGTACAATAATATTCAACATCCCCACTTCCACCAACTTCTGAGGCAGACAGTTCCAAAGTCATACGACCCTTTGCGAGAATTAAAGGCTCCTTCTCAACTCTGTCCTGATTTGAAAACAGTGACGTCTAATTTTAAATCAGTGCCAATTCTGCACTGACCCACAAGAGGAAACATCCTCTCCACTCCACCATGTCAAAACCATCTGTACACTTCAATCAAGTCACCGTTCACTGTTCTAAACTCCAAGAGAAGGAAAGAAGCTCAGCCTGTCCAATTTTTTCGCATAAGACAATCCATTCATTCCTGGTATCAATCTCACTTGTCTTCATTGCTCAGACCTCTGAGTATAGGAGTTGGGACATCATGTTGAGGTTGTATAGGATGTTGGCGAGGTCTCTTCTGGAGTATTGTGTCCAGTCTGGCCACCCCGTTATAGCAAGGATATTTTAAGCTAGAGAGAGTTCAGAAAAGATTTACCAGGATGTTGCTGGGAATGGAGGGTTTGAGTTACAAGGAGAAGCTGGATAGGCTGGGACTTTTTTCACTGGAGCGTAGGAGGCTGAGGGATGACCTTTATAGAGGTTTATAAAATCATGAGGGGTATAGATAAGGTGAATGATAGATATCGTTCCCCTAGGGTGGGGGAATTTCAAAAATAGTGGCCGTATTTTTAAGGTGAGAGGAGAAAGATTTTTAAAAAGATATGAGGGGCAACTTTTTTACACAGAGTCACTCATATGTGGAATGAACATCCAGAGGAAGTGGTGGATGTAGGTACAGTTACACCATTTAAAAGACATTTGGATAAGCGCATGAATAGGAAACGTTTAGAAGGGTATGGGCCAAACACAGGCAGGTGGGACTAGTTTAGTTTGGGATTATGGTCGGCATGAACTGCTTGGACTGAAGGGCCTGTTTCTGTGCTGTATGACTCTAGGAAATTTCCTCTGAACTGCTTCCAATGCATCTTCATCCTTCCTGAAACAAGTAGGCCCAAACAGCACACAGAATTCAAGATTCAGCCTCACTAAGGTCCTATAAAACTGAAGCATAACGTCCTTACGTTTATATTGAATTGCTAAATGATAACAGAGAGCTTTTTTTTTTTGCCCTCTTGTTTATACGCTGTACCTGCACACTAATTTTTTTGTGATTCATGAACCGGAACACCTAAATTCCACCCCACAAGCTCAGTCATTCTGCTTAAGCAACGCTCTGCCAAAATGAGCAACTTCATATTTTCCCACATTATTGTCCAACTGCCAGATATTTTGCCTGCTCACCCAACCTATCTATATTCGTCTTCAACTTCCTTCTGTTGTCCTCACAGCAAACTTCCCTGCCTTTCCTGGTGTCATTGTCAAACCTAGCCACCAGGCCTTCACTTTTCTTGTCAAAGTCATTGATGTATATTGTAAAAAGTTGAGGACCCTGTAAGACTCCACCCATCACATCCTGCCAATTAGGCCTACTTGTGCACACTTGCTGTTTTCTGCCAGTCGGCCAATCTCTATTCATGCTAATATGATAACTGCCTACACCATAAACATTTATTTTCAGAATACCCTTTGATATGGCCCCTTATCAAATGCCTTCTGGAAATCCAAGTTTGTTACAGAGCACCCACCCATCCCCACCTTATCCGCTGTACATTTTACTCCCTCAAGGAACTCCAATAAATTGGTTAAAATTGATTTACCTTTGACAATGACTCTGCCTGATTACTTTGAGTTTTTCAAAGTTTGCAGCTCTAATGTCTTTAATGATTGGTTCTAAATCAGTCAAGTGCAGCATATTTGAAATTCAAATATTTCCATTAGGTCTGTTTGCCTGGTAGCGATAATGGTGTTTGCAGATGGCAGTTAAGTTAATGATCAGTATCAACAAGTTTGGTGAATATGGATATTTGGCTGTAAGATGGAGGCCAAATATTTGCAAGGGTCAGCCCTGGCCTATGGTTAAACCTCTCACATGAACAGACATGAAATAACATTGGCCTTCTCCCAAAATCTATCATTGTCTTTTAATCCTGGTTGATGCCTGCAAGAACCCAGGGTGAAGCAACTGTTTGCAAAAGCAATAGCCCATAAGTTGGAAATTATTAAATTATTCAGATTTTTCTGTTCGCGAGTTGGCTGTTATGATTACTCCCATTATAATCATGACTGTGTTTCCAATGGCTGTGAAGTGCTTTGGAATGACATGAGAGTATGAGGATTACTACATGTAGTTTGGCAAATTGCTTTCCTTTCCTGTTTCCCTTTCAGTTCAGTTACAAGATTAATTATGAACGAGAGACTATGAAACACAAGCTACATAAATAAGGCCATAAGATGTAGGAGCAGAATTGAGCCATTCGCTCCATCAAGTCTATTCTGCCAATCAATCATGGCTGATTGTGTTTCTCAACTCTATTCTCCTGCCTTCTCCCATAACCCTTGATCCCCTTACTAATCAAGAACCTATCTATCTCTGTCTTAAATATACTCAATGACCTGGCCTCCACAGCCCTCTGTGGCAATGAGTTCCACAGATTCATCACCCTCTGGCTAAAGAAATTTCTCCTCATCTCTGTTCTAAAGGGTCATCCCTTCATTCTGAGGCTGTGCCCTCGGGTCCTAGTCTCCCCAACTAGTGGAAACGTCTTCCCCAAGCCCACTCTATCCAGCCCGCTAAGTATTCTGCAAGCTTCAATGAGATCCTCCCTCATCTTCGAAACTCCAGCGAGTACAGACACAGAATCCTCAACCACTGCTCATACAACAAGCCCTTCATCACCAGGATCATTCTTGTTAACCTCCTCTGGACCCCCTCCAATGCAAGCATGTCCTTCCCTTAGATACAGAGCACAAAACTGCTCATAATATTGCAATGCAGTCTGACCCAGAGCCTTATACAACCTCAGTAGTACATGTCTGCTGTTATCTTCCAGCCTTCTTGAAATGAATGCTAACATTGCATTTGCCTTCCTAACTGCCAACTGAAAATGCATGCTAACCGGAAGACAATCCTAAACTAGGACTCCCGAGTCCCTTTGTGCTTCAGATTTCCAAAGCCTTTCCCCATTTCAAAACAGTCTACACTACTATTCTTCCTGCCAAAGTGCATAATCTCACACTTTCCTACATTGTATTCTATCTGCAACTGTCCTAGTCTGTCCAGGTCCTTCTGCAGCCTCCCCACTTCCTCAAGACTACCTGTCCCTCCACCTATTTTTATGTCATCTGCAAACTTAGCTGCAATGCCCTTACTTCCTTTTCCCAGATGGTTAATGTATAATGTGAATGGTTGTGGACCTAACACTGACCCCTGTGGAATTCCATTGGTAACTAGCTGCAATCCAGAAAAAGACCCCTTTATTCCCAGTCTCTGCCTTCTGCCAGTCTGCCCATCCTCCATCCATGTCAGCACCTTGTCCCTAACACCTTGTTCTCTTAATATTATTTCACAGCCTCCTGTGTGGCACCTTGTCAAAGGCCGTTTGAAAATCCAAATAGATCATGTCCACTGGCTCTGCTTGGCTTGCTTGCTCTTTACCTCCTCAAAGTATTCTCTTCTGGTGTACATAAGACATTATTAAATGAAATAGGAAAAACAAATTTTATGAAGACTATAGAAAGGCAATTAAAAAAAAATCGTGGAGAATAATTCAGCAACCTCCAAAAAGAATGCTGAGGCAGTGAGAGGGAAACCAGAATTAAGCAGCGTCTTGGAAGCGAAATTCAACAATGAGAAAGTTTTCCAGCATTTTATAACAGCAAGAGAATTTGTAATGGATACAAATGTGGTTGAATCTGAAGATGTACTAAAAATACTTAATTGAACTGCAGCCAAGTTTGCACATGTCAAGATCCCATAAACAGTTGATGAATGAGTAGTTCATCTGGAACAATGAACCAGATGGCTTCTCTCATCTGTATTCTGCAAGTTTGTCTTCAGCCTGTTCTCTTCACCTTTTTCCTCGTCTTTAAATTGATTTAGCTTCAGTATTTCTTGCATTGCTTGTTGCTTTTATATCTTCATACTCTTTCAGTGGAGAGGAAGTATCCTTAGGCTGATGCACAAATCTGTCAGACCACAATCATTATACCAGTACAATAGCTCATTGGATACAACAGAAAAATGTTATGGACTGCCATAGCCCACACAATTGGAGAGTGGAATCTCCCACATCCATCTGCCATGAGTAGCCAATTGGATGCAAACCCAGAATTCAGAGTCAGAACTCTGCTGTCCACCTACTGGGATTATCTGGAGTGAGGTGTGAGCCACACAACTTCTGAATCAGGCAGGAATGTCATCACTAAATTAAAGCCTTGCTTCCTAGTGAAGGGTAAAGCAAGACAACTGTGTAAATTAGAGATTTAGCCCTGGAATTTAAACTTTAATGGTGTACTTTAACAAGAAGATGCAAAAACATTCCTCAGCAGACTGGCACATTCACGACCACGTATCCAACTTTACCTTTTCAGACAGGCCCTTCATTCCTTGACTCACCTGAATGAACCATCTCTCTCCTGCTTAAAATGTCTTTTCTTAAATAAAGAGATCAATACTGTACACAGTGCTCCAGACCAATACTGTGCATAACTATAGCAAAATGTCCTTTCTTTTATCTTTTTTTCTCCTTTAAATTCTAACATTCCATTAGCCTGCCTATTAGTTTGTTGTACTTACCTATTAACTTTTTGTGCTTTGTGTACAGGACACCTCACTACTGCAGAATTCTACAATCAATCTCAATTTAAACAATGTGCTGCTTTTCTATACTTTCTGCCAAAGCGGGCAAGTTCAGATTTTTCCCACATTATACTCCAGCTCTATACAAATTTTGGTCCACTTGGATAACCTGTGTAAATCCTGACAATACACCTAATTCAAAAATCCCTTCACTGACTCCTTTGCTTTCTTTACAAATTGTTGTTCAATCATTGTGTCAGCAGCAAATTTAGCACCCATACATTCAGTCCAAACTACTTTTTCTTTACCATTTTACACAGATCTCTCATTTCATTAGCATAGCAGCTACCTCCTTCATAGATCCAATCACTTTAGAGGAATCTGGATCCAGATTTCAAATTTAAGGAAAGAGACAGCCAAGCACAAGTTCTGATTCTGGTAACTTTGACCCAAAATCCAATGATACCAACCTGCACCCTAAACTATCTCCTGTCTGATGAGTGTGCTCCAGTTGACACCAAACAACAGTATGCTTCAATGTGACTGAACCTTTTATTATGGTACAGTTGTTTTCATGATAATGGTGTGATGTTGGTATATTATACCTAGTAATATATATAATATGCTGCTGTCTCTATTTTTACTTACAGAAGATGCACCGTTACCCAAGGATGTAACAGTTTTGACTGTATTTGTTACTAAAGAAGAGTCTGCAGCTATGCGGCAATTCCCAGTTGAATGGATGCACGGGTGAGATTAGCTTTTACAGGAGTTGAGTGAAGTACTGACTTGTGCTGTAATACAGTTCTGATGTCATATCCTACCAAGGGAGGAGCATCCTTGATATGTAAGCCCAGATGAACAGTGTCTCTAAGCTCTTGGGCCAGCGAGCAAGCTTTAGTGCTTTCCTGACTAATGACCAACAACCAATCACCTGGATTATAACATACACCAGCCCTGACAAAAAATGACCAATCATAGCATCCTGGCAGCTCCTAGTGTACCTGGCACAGACATTTAAAACGTAATACTGATGATCACAGAATCATAGAATCCCTACAGTGTGGAAGCAGGCCATTTGGCCCATTCAGTCCACACCACGCTGGCCCTCAAAAGAGCATCCCACCCAGACCCACCCACCCTCCCCCCCCAATTTATCCCTGTAATCCTGCACTTCCCATGGCCAATCCATCTAGCCTGCACATCTTTGGACTGTGGGAGAAAAGCAGAGCACCCAGATAAGTTATACGTTGATGCAATGAAACACTTTTTGTTTCTGTTGATGAAGTCTGTTGCATTATGGTTTGGCACTTTCAACAGACTGATGATGGCCCACCACTCTGACTGAATGGGATGGATAGCACCAAATTATGTGTGACTGAATGTCTGACTGATCTCTGTGCAGCTCCCTGAATAACCTACTAAGACACTGGTTGCACTGGACCTGTAGGAGAACGCTTGACAACCCCATAGGAGATGAAATGCCTGGACTGAGATCAGATACCGCTTTTGACTGACTGTAGTTGGACCTCCGACTGATGACAGCTGTTCTTGATCTGACTGAGGACTGCTCTCCTTAGACTTGGAGAAATGGCCATTCAGTATGTTTGCTGTGTGGGGTGCCCGTACAAGTTGTAGGTATGATATTGACATAGCACAGTGCGGTCATATCACGTGTCCACCATCTTAACTGATCACCACTGATAACCATGACAAGCTGCCTGGCTTTGTATCTGCACCCAGTGGTAAGACAAGACAAAAGTATTGTGATCTTTTTAAACTCTGAATGAGGCACAAGGCACAAAAAGGCAAGGCAAGCCAGAGGTACTGTGAACATCCATGTAGGCGCAAAGTGTGAGAGGCACTTAGAGATCAAACGAGGAGAACTGGGGTGCAGCCTGGTTCAATGGTGTTTGTCCTAGCACAATACTACAGTGAAAGGTACCAGTGTGCTCCAAATTGAAATGGAAAACTGTATACTACGTGGGTCAGAGATGTGCCATGATGACGTGGTGAGGCTGATGTGTGTCTTATGCCAATCTCCATGGATGGGGAGGTTACAGGCAGTTGCTGCTCATTGGAACATCCCCTGCTATCCAAGGTGGTGACCAGGAAGAGCAAACAGTGAGCTGGCATTGTCAGGTATTGTCACTGTTTAGTTTTACACTTGACATGTGGGAGATTAGTAACTACATGTCAATGAAGCAAGATTGGGTACTAAAGAGATGTAAATGCATGAAATAAGTCTCTTGCCATTCTCTCTTTGTTTGAAACTTGGTCGCACAATCTAATTTTTTTTTCAATGTTGAGAGTCTCACTTTTCTAAACTCACCATATTTTTCAAACTGACTCCCCATTGTCTACTCTACTCAGGGGCTGGGAAAGTTCAGCCCTTGGTCTTATTAATAGCCTTTAATACAATAACTGTCAAATTGGTGAATGCCAGTACATGGATAATGAATATTGGTCACTATTGAAGGATGAAGGACACCCAAGGAACCAAGCTTCAATGAAGGGTTAAGAGGGATGGGGAGAGAATACTCAAGCTGGAAAAATGTTGTTGAAAAGCAGTCAACTCATTGTGCATTAATGTTGAGATTTTAAAAGTAAGATTAAATTTGGAACAAAGCTTGTTGTGCATCTTTTTTAAAAAATCTATTTCCATCTTGTAGGTTAGTCGAGTCACCGAAGCCAGATTTGACTGACAAGGAGATTCAGAATTGGCCTCTCTCCAGAGCACTGTCAGCCAATTCAAATGCTGAGGAGATGAATGGTGAGGTCAAGCACTCTGAGGTGGAGTGCAGAAACAGCACTGAGTTTGAGAACCCACATCCAAATTCCAAAGACAGTGATAGACCAGCAGATTCCATGGATCTTGCCCAGAACTACAAAGAAGAACATTCTATACAGCTTCGTTCAATGGAGGTTAGCGACAAGTCTTCAATGAGTGCAAACTCTTATCCCGAGAATAAAATCCCATTTCCTCCCACTCCTAAAGCCTGTTCCCCTCTTAGCAACTCTTGCTTTTCACTACAATTGGATGAGGAACAGCCTGACTCAGTTTCCAAGGATCTCTACGTGGAATTGAAAGAAAGTGGAAATAATGAGCACACTGAAAAAGTAACAACACCACCTGAAAGAATTAGTGGTTCCTCAGATATAAATTCCTCCAGTAGATTCACTATCTCTGACTCTCCAAAAATGCAACTTGTTTCTGAATCTAAAAATGATGAGATACACAATCAGAAAGAGGCCAGTGTCACCTCTCCTGTCACTGTCCAAACTGTACCTTTACGACAACATAGGAATTTACTGCATGGTGATGCTGTCTTGTCTCAAGGAATCTTGTTTAGAGACTCATCTCACCTTTCACTTCGTACAGAATATAGAGAAGAGGGTGCAGAAATTGAGCAGACTTCAACAATTAAGAATGGAAGCCTGGGTGAACCCAACGACCATGGAAAGCTGGTGAAACTGAATTTGTATGTTCATGTGGTGAAAGGATTGGTAATGTTTCTTCTGACTGAAGATGGATTTAGAGCCAATCGCAGTGCTATTGAAGATGTTGTGAGTATTTTTAACCCATGTGTGATCTTAAACAACAAGTCTAGTCTTTTAAATGACGTTGCTGCAAGAACTTTAGATATGGACAGGAGAAAAATTAGCACCTTCCAGTAAAATTCCTTAACTGGTTTGTTCAGCAAAATGCTGCTGGAAATGTTCCTCGTGTAAATACTTTCAAAAACATGATCTCGTGCTTGAGGATTTTTAACTTTCCTAAATGAAGGCAAGATTGTCACCTCATTCTGGTTTTCACTTGAATTGACTTATTCCAGGAGTATAATTCCAGCAGCCTCTGGTGCTGTGACAACTCCTCGTGAATGAGTCAAGGCTGTGATTTTCATTTAGAACAAGTCAAGCCAAGAGTATCGCATTAACATTTTTATTTGATCCTCTGTAAATGTAGAGATACAGAACTCTGCAGCAGAAATGGTTTGGTGTTGATGAGGTAACTTGACTGAACTCACTTTGAGGTCAAACATAATGGTAATACTGCCATCATAACTGAGATCAAAAACTGCCCAGATGAAGCAGCACATTTGCAAGTTTTGCATTTGTCCAACTTTGTGTCATAGAGCTATACAGGATAGAAACAGACCCTTCAGTCCAACTCATCCATGCCGACCAGATATCCTAAATTAATCTAGTTCCATTTGCCAGCATTTGGCCCATATCCCTCTAAACTCTTCCTATTCATATACCCGTCCAGATGCCCTTTAAATCTTGTAATTGTACCAGCTTCCACCATTTCTTCTAGCAGCTCATTCCATACATGCACCACCCACTGTGTGAAAATGTTGCCCCTTTGGTCTTCTTTTAGACCTTTCCCCTCTCATCTTAAACCTATGCACTCTAGTTTTGAACTCCGCTACTGTGGGGAACAGACAGCTTTTCATACAGGTGCTTTAGGGTTTTCTTGCAGTTCCAACCAAGGAACCTGTTAATTTTTATCATCTGTTATTGTAGCCACCAATATACTATTGTTAGAAAATAAATAATTAGCTTTGTGCCTCTTGACTTGTAAAATTCTCCATTATATTTTATACCTCCCAACCAAGCCACTTCTATGATTGAATCAGAGATAGTAGGAACTGCAGATGCTGGAGAATCCGAGACAACAAGGTGCAGGGCTGGATGAACACAGCAGGCCAAGCAGCATCATAGGAGCAGAGAGGCTGACGTTTCGGCCCTAGACCCTTCATCAGAAAAGGGGGAGGGGAAGGGGGTTCCGAAATAAATAGGGAGAGAGTGGGAGGCGGATAGAAGGGGGATAGAGGAGAGGATAGGTGGAGAGGAAACAAACAGGTCGAAGAGGCGGGGATGGAGCCAGTAAAGGTGAGTGTAGGTGGGGAGTTAGGAAGGGGATAGGTCAGTCCAGGGAGGACGGACAGGTCAAGGGGGCGGGATGAGGTTGGTCGGTAGGAGATGGAGGTGCGGCTTGAGGTGGGAGGAGGGGATAGGTGGGAGGAAGAACAGGTTAGGGAGGCAGGGACGAGCTGGACTGGTTTTGGGATGCGGTAGGGGGAGGGGAGGTTTTGAAGCTTGTGAGATCCACATTGATACCATTGGGCTGCAGGGTTCCCAAGCGGAATATGAGTTGCTGTTCCTGCAACCTTTGGGTGGCATCGTTGTGGCACTGCAGGAGGCCCAGGATGGACATGTCGTCTGAGGAATGGGAGGGGGAGTTGAAATGGTTCGCGACTGGGAGGTGCAGTTGTTTATTGCCAACCGAGCGTAGGTGTTCTGCAAAGCGGTCCCCGAGCCTCCGCTTGGTTTCCCCGATGTAGAGGAAGCCACACCGGGTACAGCGGATGCAGTATACCACATTGGCAGATGTGCAGGTGAACATCTGCCTGATGTGGAAAGTCTTCTTGGGACCTGGGATGGGGGTGAGGGAGGAGGTATGGGGGCAGGTGTAGCACTTCCTGCGGTTGCAGGGAAAAGTGCCGGGTGTGGTGGAGCTGGAGGGGAGTGTGGAGCGGACAAGGGAGTCACGGAGAGAGTTGTCCCTCCGGAAAGCAGATAAGGGTGGGGAGGGAAAGATGTCTTTGGTGGTGGGGTCGGATTGCAGATGGCGCAAGTGTCAGAGGATGATGCGTTGGATCCGGAGGTTGGTGGGGTGGTACGTGAGGACGAGGGGGATTCTTTTTTGGTTCTTATTGCGTGGACGGGGTGTGAGGGATGAGGTGCGGGAGATGTGGGAGACAAAAAAAAAAAAAAAAAAAAAAAAAAAAAAAAAAAAAAAACGGTCCTTGAAAAACGAGGACAACTGAGATGTACGGGAGTGGAATGCCTCATCCTGGGAACAGATGCGGCGGAGGCGAAGGAATTGGGAATAGGGGATAGCATTTTTGCTGGAAGGTGGGTGGGAGGAGGAGTGTTCTAGGTAGCTGTGGGAGTCGGTGGGCTTGAAATGAATATCGGTTTCGAGGTGGTTGTCCGATATGGAGACAGAGAGGTCCAGGAAGGGGAGAGAGGTGTTAGAGATGGTCCAGGTAAATTTAAGGTTGGGGTGGAAGGTGTTAGTGAAGTGTATGAACTGTTCGAGCTCCTCGTGGGAGCACGAGGCGGCACCGATACAGTCATCAATGTAACGGAGGAAGAGGTGGGGTTTAGGGCCGGTGTAGGTACGGAAGAGGGATTGTTCCACGTAACCTACAAAGAGGCAGGCGTAGCTTGGGCCCATGCGGGTACCCATGGCTACCCCCTTTGTCTGTAGGAAGTGGGAGGAATTGAAAGAGAAGTTGTTGAGTGTGAGGACGAGTTTGGCTAAGCGGATGAGGGTATCAGTGGAGGGGGACTGGTCGGGCCTGCGGGACAGGAAGAAGCGGAGGGCCTTAAGGCCATCTGCATGGGGAATGCAGGTGTAGAGGGACTGGACGTCCATGGTAAAGATGAGGTGTTGGGGACCGGGGAATTGGAAGTTCTGGAGGAGGTGGAGGGCGTGGGTGGTGTCACGGACATAGGTAGGGAGTTCCTGGACCAAGGGGGAGAAAATGGAGTCTAGATAGTTGGAGATCAGTTCGGTGGGACAGGAGCAGGCGGAGATAATGGGTCGACCAGGGCATTCAGGTTTGTGGATTTTGGGAACGAGATAGAAGCGGGCAGTGCGGGGTTGGGGAACGATGAGGTTGGAGGCCGTGGGTGGGAGGTCACCTGAGGTGATGAGGTTGTGGATGGTTTGGGAGATGATGGTTAATGCTTTTTGGGATGTATACATGTGCTGATTTGTTGTTAATGGATGTGCACATGGTTAATTTCTAATTACTGTGCAGATCATTTGAATGTAGTTCTCAACCCATTTCATATGGAAATCTTAAACCGGGTGAAAAACAATGAGGGAATTAATGCCTTGAGATTTTGAATAAATTATTGTGTAAGTTTGGATGTCTGATGCATTCGACTCTGCTCACTGCAGTTAGACATCAATGGCAGGTACTTGGCTCAGAGAATCCCAATTATTTCCATCTCCTCCACAGTATCACAGCACCCTGGCATCTTTAAATGGCTTAGAAGTTCACCTGAGTGAGACGTTACTCAGCAAGAGCTACTGTAACTTACTTGGCTACAACTTTGCACATTATGACTGCGTTCAGCATGTACTCACAGGTCAGTGTGTATGTGTGTGTGTCATTTCCCTCTTTGGAAGGGCTGACCTATGCAATATTATTACATATTAATGATCCTCAAAGATCTCACCCAAGTGGACATTCCTGTTGTCTGAGCCTCAATATTGAGCGTCGGCATGTAATTTTGATTATTTGGGGTGGGCTAAGAAGGTTATCACAGTTGAACCCACTTCTGTTCTTGCCTTGTATTCGTGCTTCAGTTTGCATCAGGGGTCACTGGATGGTCAGGAATGCGGAGAAAGCATTTTTTTTGTCCCTCCTTGGTCTAAGGTATTGAAAGCAATTATAGTCTCTCCTGTTGCCTGGTTAATTTGTTACTTTGCGACTGAGGTATTGAGTGAAATTCCGGCATAAACATTTTCCGGTTTAATCCTGGAGCTGACTTCCATCATCCCCTGATCAGACTACAGGGCCTTCATGAACATTTGCGAGGTGCCTCGGTGACTCAGCGATGCCTCACAGCACCAGAGACCCAGGTTCGATTCCACCCTCGGTCTGTGTGGAGTTTGCACATTCTCCCCGTGTCTGTGTGGGTTTCATCTGGATGCTCCAGTTTCCTCCCACAGTCCAAAGTGCAGGTTAAGTGGGCTGACCATGCTAAATTGCTCATAGGGTCCAGTAATGTGCATGGCTAGGTGGATTAGCCATGGGAAATGCAGGGTTATGGGATCAGGATTGGTGGGGTTTGGTCTGGTTGGGATGCTCTTCAGAGGATCAGTATGGACTTGATGGGTTGAATGGCCTGCTTCCACACTATAGGGATTCAATGCTTTGTTCATGGTATTGTAGAACGGTTGTGTACTGATGGAAGCCATTAATCTCCTGCATGTTAGTCACCTTTTTTTTTTGAAGAGCTAACCAGTTAGATCCACTCTACCACTTTCCCCTGTTTCCCTGAAATCATAGAATCCCTACAGTGCAGATAGGGGCCGTTCCAGCAATTTCTGTTTTTGATGCCTCTAACAGTACTTCATTTAACCTGGCAGTAATTTGAAGAAAAATGAAAGCTTTAATGATTTGGATGTAGAGTTAGTTTATTCACGGAATTTGCTACTTTCATTTCAGATTTAAAGTGCCTGCCTTTTCTCTGTATTTCTAAAATCTCATCCACATTTTAGATTGACTAAACTGTGCTTTAATGTGGGGATTTACTTTATGGCCACACATTCTGAATACACTACTCGAGTCCCCTTCTGGTGATCTGAATTACTGAGGAAGCTCTGCATTGCCAGAGATGCTGCTTTTTAAGTGAGACATTAAACTTCTCAGCTGGATATAAAGGATCTCAGGCATTATTTTGACTGGTCAAGGTGTTACATTTTGTGACCTGCCCAATATTTAACCTTCAATCTACGGTTACTTAAAAAAAACTCGTCATTATCACGCTGTTTTTGGGAGCTTCCTTGTATACATTGGCTGCTGTATTTCCAATTCTGACAATGTCTGTACCTCAAAAGAAATTCACAAGCTGCAATAATAAAATTAGAACTTCCTGTGAGCATGATAGGTGCATATAAATGCACATTTCAATTACTACGTTTCCACTGTTCATTACCTCACTTTTCATAGAATCCCTACAGTGTGGAAGCAGGCCATTAGGCCCATTAAGTCCACAACAGCCTTCAAAGAGCATCCCACCCAGACCCACCTCCCTACCCGATCTCAGTAACCCTGCATTTCCCATGACTAACTCACCTAGCCTACACACCCCTGGACACTATGGGCTATTTACTATGGCCAGTCCACCGAACCTGCACGTCTTTAGCCTGTGGGAGGAAACCCACATAAAACAGGGAGAATGTGCAAACCCCACACATTCAGTCTCCCAAGGCTAGAATTGAACCCAGGTTTGCGGGCATTGTGAAGTGGCTGTGTTAACCACTGTGCCACCCTTTAGAATCATAGAATACCTACAGTTCAGAAAGAGGCCATTTGGCCCATTAAGTCTGTACTGACCCTCTGAAGTGCATCCCACCCACCGCCCCCAACCCTATAATGTTTTTCTCTTTTACAAGTGGTAGGTTTTCAAAATCAGTCTTGTGTTTGTATTCATCTAATCAGGCAATGCATTCCAAATCATACCCATAGTTTTTTTAACATTCTGTCCTTATGATAATCAAAGCAGACTAATGTTCTGCGGTATGTTGGAGACACTGCAGATCTTGCCTAATAAAGTCAGTCTTCATTGAACTGGCAGAAGACAAACATTCAGGGAAAAAGTTGCAGTATACAAAGGGACCAGCAGATGTCCTCAGTGGTCTCCAATCCAGACAATTTTTTGGCATTAGCCAGAACCTCAGTTTGACATTATCCTAAGGTGCTTCATAAGGAAATAGATTGGTCACTGAGGAGGATAAGGAGGTTCGGGAACTAACCCAAATGTTATCAGAGCTGCAGGTTTCAAGGAACATTTTGAAGGTGGGAGGAGATGTTGCAGGGTGCAGGTTTTTTAGCGAGAGGGTTCAGGTGGCAAGATTATTGTACTGAGGTACAGCTTTCGCTGGTGGAGTGCAAGGAAGGTGAGGGTGCACAGTGGTTCAGACTCCACATCAGAACATGTGAGATGGGGGAAATAGTGCTGGAGGAGACTTCACAGGCAGTGTGAGGCTCTGTAAGGATCTACAAATCTCCCAAAGCCTGTCCACCATCTAGAAGGCACACGTCAGGAGTGTGATGGAATACTCCCCACTTCCCTGGATGAGGTTAGCTCAAACAACAATCAGGAAGCTTGGTACCATCCAGGACAAAACAGCCTGCATGCCTGGCACTGCATCCACTCTCCACCACCAACGCTCAGTAGCACCAGTGTGTACTATCTACAAGATGCACTGCAGAAATTCACCAAAGATCCTTAGACAGCACTTTCCAAACCATCAACCAGTTCCTTCCAGAAGGACAGGGGCAGCAGATACATGGGAATACTACCCCCTGCAAGTTCCCCTCCAAGCCACTCACCATCTTGACTTGGAAATATATTGCCATTCCTTCACTGTCTCTGGGTCAAAATCCTGGAATTTCCACCCTAAGGGTATTGTGTCTCACTGTAGACTGTAGCATTTCAAGAAGGCAGCTCAGCACCACGTTCTCAAGGGCAACGAAAGACTAGCAATAAAATGTTGGCCCAGCCAGCAATGTTCACATCCCATGAGTGAATAAAACAAAACAAACGAAAACTATGGTGATGAAATCAAGGCTGTAGAAATGGGAAGCCAGATGAGGATGTGCATCTGAGTAGAATTTAATTGAGAGCGGGATGCGTGACGGAGAACTGAAAGAGTTGGGATTTAATTGGACTTCAGCCTTCAGTGTGTTACGAGGGGACGTTGTACCTGAAGCAAGTTACTTCTGCATCTATTAAAACATCAGCCATAGAAGATGTCCCTAGGGTCTAGTCCTGCAAATGGCAACCGAATTAGTTCCAATCTCTAGAAACATGGAAGTCCCAATTACATGGAAAAATTGAACATCTATAGAGAAGGAAATAATCATCACTTGTGAACTGTACAAACCAGTTAGAGTTGATTAAAATGAAACCAAAATTACATGATACGATGAAAAGTGCAAATAAATAGTGGTGCATCTATAGGTCCCACCATCTTCGAGAGAGGAGGTAGAGGAAAGGAGCTAACTGCTGCTTCAGTGAACACCAGCCATAATTGAAGGAGCAGGTTCAATCCCTTACGTGAGTAGAGTTGGCTGATTTTGGGAAGTGGGACAGCTGTTCCAACCGCTGCCCCAGGAATAGATGATGGTAAATTAGCCAAGATTACCGCTTCTCATTGCTATCCAGTAACAGTGTGAACAGTCTGGTGTTTGCTGTACCTGTTGACATTTGAATCATTGCTCATAGTTGATTAGCTGGAGGGTGATCTGTAGAACTGTATCCAAAACATCATTAAAATGGGAGGGAGGAAGACTAGGGGTGGTGGTTAAAATTACCAAATAGAGTAAACTGTAGTGTTGCATCTGACATGGTTCAGTAGACCAGGACAGAAAACGGTGAAATCTCGGACAGCATATTTCTTTGTGATTGAATGATTGGTACTAAACAATTCCTTTTCATTTTTAAAGCTCAGCTTTCCTCTGGTGATCAGAAGGGTCACTTCATTAGAGCAACGGCTTTGATGCACACTGACTTGGACCACAACAAGACCACTCATGAGATGATTGTCCGGTATGTTGTAGAATCATACGGTATCACAGCACAGAAAGTCGTATCATATTTGTGCCAGTCAGGCACCTATCTACTCTAATCACATTTTCCAGCACTTGGCTGCTAGCATTTTATGCCAAGTAATTACCTGCTAACTTTTTTTTCGGTAGAACAAACATCTCCACATTTCTGTTTCTGATACATCCATCTTCCAGAACTGGAAGAAAAAGTGGCCTATGAAATGATAGATACCTGTGTTTCCAGCTTGCAGAGTGCTGGTCTCTCTTGCAATCTTTCGCAACACCAGAAGCACAAAGAAGCAGAGTCTGGCTGTTGAGTGAATGAAATAGATTAAACTACCCTTTCCTGGAATTGTCCTCAGTGCATCTGGCAAGTTTATCCTGGCTCTACACCTTGCTGTGCCTTGCCAGGGACACTAGATGTCAAAACAGTAGAGAGTTAGGTATACAACACTTGGAAAATGCACCTGCTGAGGGATATGTTTGACGTTCTTCCTTTCCTGTTGACATTAATCCATTCACTATTTGTGAGGTCTTGCTATGCAGAAAATGGTTGCTACATTTGACTTAACAAGTGATTACACTTTAAAATGGGCTTAGTTGATTGTACAGAGGCATCCTGAAAATCCCAACATAAGTACAAGTCCTTTTGAAGTGTAGGTAAACATATGACAAGCAGTTTGCAAGCATCAGTTCCTAGGAGGAGCAGCAAGATAAATGACCACATAATGTGTATTAGACTTGCTACATGAGGAATAAATTTTGCATGACATACTTGTTCTAACAGAGTTGGGAAGGTTAGAGAGAGTTCAGTTGTTTTTATCCAGGTTTATAAAGCCTGTCATTGTGCAGGCAAGAGTGACTGGGTAACTGCAATGAAATGCTGGGCACCTTCCCAGCGAGGTGGTACCTTTAATGGTTTTGGTGAGGCTAACAGGGAAGCAGCACAAAGCTTCCTGCAATTTTCAGAGGGCTTGCATTTGAGCCATACCTCTCTTATGCTAAAGTTTATGGACTTTGTTGCAAATAGAAGTCAGGGTCTTGCATATTCAGTGATCCCAATGAATATTGATAAGATATCTGACTGCTGAGGAGGTTTCTTTTGGGAGATGGGGGCTTGTGGGCTGTGTGAGTTTAGGATGCTCTCACCGTCTACTGGCCCACTTGTCGTACCTGTACAGTTACCCTGACTGAGGATCACTAACTTGACAGTTTCTAACTGAAGCCATCGCTAGCTGGATAAGGAAGTGGGGCAGGGGAGCTTGTGATTTACATTTTGCTAGATTTGTGCAATGCATTAGATCAGAACTCCCAGCATTGAAAATTGGACCATTGGAATCTGAGGAGGATTGGAAAGTTATGGGTAGTGCTTCCTAAGTTTCCACCCTTTGCTTCTCTCGCATGAAGCAACTGATGGAATGAGATTTTATTCCCATTGCCTTCCGCTGCATTTTCCTCATGGCAAGTGAAGATTAATAGGACTAAATAGACTATTGAAAGGCCTCTGTAAGACAACTGTTAAATATTCGAAAACCAAAAAAGAAATACTTACATTTATGTAGTACCTTTTATAGCCTGAGGACTGCTCTGTAGCCAATTAGGCAATGCTGAAATCTATTGTAAGAAACATGGCTGTCATCTTGCACACTGCCAGTAATGTTCACTTGAGGAACAAAGACAAAGTTGCTGGACTGAGGAAGGGTCACTGGACCTGAAATATTAACTCTGCTTCCTCCTTCACAGATGCTGCCAGACCTGCTGAGCTTTTCCAGCAACTTTGTTTTTGTTCCTGATTTACAGCATCCACAGTTCTTTTGGATTTTATGTTCACTTGAGGGACTGATATTGACCAGGACACTGGACACAACTCTTCTTAGAAAGTATCCTATGTAACTACTTCAATCTATTTGAGAAGGCACATGAGGTCTCGATTTAATGCCTCATTCAGAAGTTAGTGAAGCACTCCCTTACCGACTCTGGGAGAGTCAGCCGAGATTTTCAAAGTGAAAAAGAGATGTACGTAAAACATCAAGTGATTTCCCCTCCTTAATTAATTGCTACCATTCTCTCCCAACAGGAACGCCTCCACTGCTGTTTACAGCTGCCAGAACCCAGCCCAGGAAACTCACTTCCAGATCCTTGCAGCTGCCCGCAACTCCGGCGTTCCGAACCCTCGCGACAGTGCCTTTGCTTTGCCAGGACGAGCCAAGCAGAAACTACTAAAATATGGAGTAAACCTGCTCTGAGTCACGGCAATCTCACAGATTTCCCAGCAGTGTTACACGGACAAATGCTTACACTTTTTAATTGAAAAGAACAAATGGTTCTTTAAGTCATACGCTTGTCCTACCTGAGTGTATTATCTAATGGTTGTATCATGGGCTGCGTGTTCCTCCAGTATATTTGCTTAAATGTACTAATAATTGGAGATTCTTAGGAATTTTCAGTGGGGATGAGTGTTGAAAGAAGTAAAGAAACACATCACACAGCATGCCTTACTTGAATCGAGGTTTTCTGACATTGTGCATGAAGAATTAATGGACCAGCCAAAACCATAAATAAGACTATCTGTGTGTTGAAAAATATACATGGCTTTTAAAATGTAGAAAACTCCTAAACAGACATGGAATTTATTTTAATATCCTGTCCACACACCTCATCTTTTCAATGGTTTTGATTAAATGTGGTTAAAATTTGTCATTCAGCCATAAGAAGAAAGTTCCTATTTATTCAAATTTGTGGAAGTGTTGATTCCCTACAACATTTCTGATCTACCCCAACTTCAGCCTGATAACTTGGATTTATGTAGTGCCTTTAATGTATTCAAATGACCCATGGCGCTTCACAGGAGAGTTATCAAATAAAATTTGATACTAAACTACATAAGAAAACATTAAGATGTAAATAAAAGTTTTGTTATTTCAGGAGATGGGTTTTAAGGAAAATAATTGGGGCATGGGTGGTTGGGCAGTGCAGTGCAGAATTTCAGAGCTTAAGGCTTGCTGAAATATCTCAATTTTCAACATTCCTATTCCTATGTAAATGTTAGGAACTCAAGACCACAGGATGTAAGTTTAAGGAGAGGAGTAAGTGGTTTAGAGGAGAGCTGAGAAAAGGTCTTTTCACCCAGAGGATGGTTGCAATATGGAAAGTGCGGCCTGAGAAGGTCATTGAGACGGACACTCTCACAACATTTATGAAGCATCTGGATGAGCACTTAAAATGCCAGAATATGGTAGGCTAGGGATCAAGTGCAGGAAAATGGGATTAAGTGTTGTTTGTGTTTGTTGGTCAGTATAGACATGGTGGGCCGAAGGGCCTATTTCTATGCTGTATCACTCTATGACCTAGGAGTGGGAGTAGGCCATTTGTCCCCTTCAAGCCTCCACTGCCAAGATCATGGCTGATCTGATTGTAGTCTCAACTCCACTTCCTTGTCTGATTGTCAGAGACCTTGAGTCTCTTGAAAATCTATTGGAATCAGCCTTGAATAAATTCAATGGCAAAGCCTCCACTACTTTCTAGGGAAGAGAATTCCGCAGACCAATAATCCTCTAGATGAACAAAGTCCTCTCATCTGGCTCTGATCCTCAAACAGTGTCCCCTGGTACCAATCTCTCCCAACACTATTGCAATACTAGTAAAATATTGTTAATAGTTTTTTTTTAATCTTTTTTCTCTGGGGAAATTCTATGGATGCTGACAACCTTCTGATCAATAGTCCATGTGTTCACTCGTCCTGTTGAATTTTCAATGCTTAAGGACGTTACAATTAACTCTGATTCAACAATCAGTTATGTACATCTTTCAGGGGTGAGAAGTACTTGACGTCTCCTTGTCCCCAGCCAAAAGGTATTGAAGCTACTATCAACACACTGCCTTTACTGAGATACCATGAAACTTCCATTTCTGTTCAGTTTTGCACTTTACACAAATGCTGTAGCTGGTATGAGAGATATTAGGAATTTTGATAGCTAGTAATGGTAACTGATTTTCTCAATGTTTATAAGTAACTTGAGATTTATCACTAATTGAAGAGTGGAATAAAGGAGAGAGAAACTATACATGCCATTTATACTAAATTGAAAACAATAACGTACATATATGAAATGTAAAATGTTTTAATTTTTGGGGTGGTGTTGGTGAGAATGGAGGTAAACTATAGATGTATATCTTACTGCTGAATGGTCCTGTCGAAATGCATTTCACTTTTAGACACTTAGCATCTATTATGGCTTACCAGCAATTTGTTGTTTACATTTTTACTTCTCAGTTTGTTACTTGCATCTTGGAACTGCTGAAAGTTTGAGAGACCCGGAATCTAAGTTAAAGATTTGTCTTACTGACATCTGCAAGGTCGTAACCTACAGTTTGCCCAATATGATGGGGAGCCATATGGAGATACTCTGCAGGTAGTCGGTAATTTAATACTCAAATCCTGGATCTGGTGACTAATTGACCTTTGTGGTGAAAAGGTGTCTCTAGCAGGCTAGCGATTCACTTATCCCACGTTGAATTCATTAGAAAAGTAAATTGACTGAAGCATTGCACTTATGACAAACTAGAGGAAGGTCTCTTAGACTTAATTATACACTGAATACATTATTCTAGCATTATGCAGAGAATAATAGATTGATGGAACAATTCACTGGGAGTTCATTGAACAAGACAATATAAATTATTTTTATATGTATGTTTGGAAGCCAGCAGTAATTGGTGGATTTTGTGATCTGACAGGTAGCTGAAGTTGAAATATATTGTAAAGAAATGAATTTGATAGGGTTTGGTTTTTAAATCCTAAAAGCTTTTGAGCTAGGTTTTTTCCATCATTATAGTGTGATGGAAATTTAAGCTCAATATTCTCTCGTTTTAGCATATTAACCGATTCTGTAAGTTTGAGTGTACCACCTTACTGCTATTCTTGTGGTATGTACCAATATTTTCTCCGCTGCTGTTCTTCAGTAGTAAACAATGTGCCACAGCTAATTGTCACTCTAATGCTGACCACAGTACTGTGACAACCACATGGCATCTGTGTCCTCCTTGTTATTTAAACTTGCTCCTCCTCATCTGTTCAATCTGCTGTCTACTGTCATCCCCTCAGCCTCACTAGCTGAGGGAAAAGGATTGTGTGGTCTATATTTTAAAACCCTAACTCCACCTAATCCAACTATAGTATCGATGGCTCAGTGGTCAGCACTGCTGCCTCACAGCACGAGGGACCCGGGTTCAGTTCCACCCTTGGGCAGCCATCTGTGTGGAGTTTGCACATTCTCCCTGCGTCAGTATGGGTTTCCTCCAGGTGCTCTGGTTTCCTCCAGGTGCTCTGGTTCGCTCCCACAAAGATGTGCAGGTTAGGAGGATTGGCCATGTTAAATTGCCCATAGTGTCCAGGGATGTGCAGGCTAGGTGGGTTAGCTATGGGAAATGCACGGTTACAAGGATAAGGTAGGGGGTCGAGTCTGGGTGGAATACCCTTTGAAGGGGCAGTGTGGACTTGATGGGCAGAATGGGCTGCTTCAACACTAGGGATTCTATGAGTCTGTAGTAGACATGCACTCCTGTTATACTTTTAAATTTTTACAACTTTAGTACAAGGTTGCACTATTGGAAAATACTGTAGGCGCTACAATTTGGCTGATGAATTACTGTTATACAACTAAATATTAGTTATATTTCTTAACTGTCAAATTGTCTCAACAATGCAGGATGTTTCTTCTAATGGTACATTGTAGAATTTTATACGAAAAATCTGGTGTATGTAAGCTTGTGTAAAATGCCTTCTGGGTTTCAGCTCAAGGTGCTGTGTTCTCACATCTGTGCAATAAATTAAATATACACTGCTCACCAAGTGCCTTTCTTCAAGCAAAGTATTAAATTGAGGAGCAGGAGCGGGCCCTTCTGCAGAACTAATTACCAAATGCTTTCTTTTACAGTACGTCCTGTAGTAATGTTTTATCAACCTGATGCTTCCACCAAATTCATGATTTAACATGTCTTCTGTGGTCAGCATCTTGGATTTATTTAGTGTGTGTAGGGTCGTAAAACATCACGAGACAATTCACAAAAGCATTAGCAAATCATAGAGTCAAAGAGTTGTACAACACAGAAACAGACCCTTTGGTCCAACTCATCCATGCCAACCAGATATCCTAAATTAATCGAGGGGGTCGAGTCTGGATGGAATACCCTTTGAAGGGGCAGTGTGGACTTGCCCATTTGCCAGCATTTGGCCCATATCCCTCTCAACTCTTCCTATTCATATACCCATCCACCACTTTCTCTGGCAACTCATTCCATGCACGCACCACCCTCTGTGTGAAAAGTTGCCCCTTAGGTCCCTTTTAAATCTTTCCCCACTCACCTTAAAAATATGCCATCTAGTTTTGGACTTTCCTATCCTGGGAAAAAGACCTTGGATATTCAGCCTATCTATACTCCTCATGATTTTATACACCTCTATAAGATCACCCACAGCCTCCAAATTTCCAAGGAAAATAGCCCCAACCTATTCAGCACCTCACTCGAGCTCAAATGCTCCAACCCCAACAGTGTCCTTGTAAACGTTTCCTGCGTCCTTTCAAGTTTAACAACATCTCTCCTGTAGCAGGGAGACCAGAATTGATCACAGTGTTCCAAAAGTGGCCAAACCAATGTCCTGTACAGCCACAACATGACCTCCGAACTCCTGTACTCAACGCACTGACCAATAAAGGCAAGTGTACCAAATGCCACCTTCACCACCCTATCTACCTGTGAGTCCACTTTCAAGGAACTATGAACCTACACACCAAGGTCTCGTTGTTCAGCAACGCTTCCCAGGAGTCTACTATTAAGTGTATAAGTCCCGCTCTGATTTGCCTTTACAAAATGCGACACCTCACATGATACTGATCTACATAAAGAAATATGAGGATAGCTGACTAAAAGCTTGGTCAAAGAGGTAAATTTTAAACAGCATCTTAAAAGAAGGGAATTCCAGAGTTTAGGTACATGGCAGCTCATGTCATGCAGTAGTGGAGCAGTTTTTCCTCTGATATGCACCTCTTTAGTCATCCGTTATTTTTGTCCAAACTTAGAGAATGACTTACTCATAGACCATTCAGTTGGGGAAGCCTTGGCACTGGATTGATTTTTATTCATTATCCATTGAATAAAATAAAATAAAAACAAAATAGAGCTGATGCTGCACATCTGAAACAAAAGTGCTAAGGCCATGCCGACAGCATCTGTGGAAATAAAGAACTGCAGAAATAAAGGGACCCCAGTTCAATTCCAGACTTGGGTGACTGTCTAGGTAGAGTTTGCATGTTCTCCCTGTGTCTGCGTGGGTTTCCTCTGGGTGCTCCAGTTTCTTCCTACAGTCCAAAGATGTGCAAGTTAGGTGGATTGGCCATGGGAAATATGGGGGTCTAGGTCTGGGTGTTGTGTTCTTCGGAGGGTCGGTGCAGACTTGATGGGCTGAATAGCCCTTTTGCACTCTGTGGGGATTCTATGATCCAAAACAGAAATTGCTGGTGAAACTCAGTAGGTCTGACACCATCTAAGCAAAGAAAGCAGAGTTAATGTTTCGCATCCAGTGACTCTATGTCAGAGCTGGTGACATTCCCACAGAGTTAATGCTTTTGAGTCCAATATGGCACTTCTTCAGAATTATGAAAACCAGTGAGCTTGGGCTTGAAATGTTTCTCCCTCCACAGGTGTTGCCAGAACTATTGTGTTTCTCCAGCACTTAGTTCTTTCATTTTGCTCAATATCCAGTTGCTTCTGGATGCGTACACATTGGTGATTGGAAATGTCAAGTCACTGAGGACTTTAGAGAAGTCTATAAAATCATGAGAGGCATGGATAAGGTAGATAGCCAACAGCTTTTTGCCATGGTAGGGGAATCTAAAACAAAAGGTTGTAGGTTTAAGGTGAGAGGGAAGAGATACAAAAAGCTCCAGAGGGGCAATTTTTTCACACACAGCGTGGTGAGCATTTGGAACAGGCTACCAGAGATAGTGAATCACAGAATCCCTACAGTGTGGAAGCAGGCCATTCAGCCCATCAAGTCCACATTGACCCTCTGAAGAGCATCTCACCCCACTGCCCTATAACCCTGCATTTCCCATGGCTAATTCATCTAGCCTGCACATCACCTGACAATTTAACATAACCAATCCACCTAACCTGCACCTCTTTGAACTGTGGGAGGAATCTGGAGCACAGGCACAGGGAGAACATGCAAACTCCACACAGACTGTCACCCAAGGCTGGATTCAAACCCAGGTCCCTAGCGCTGTGAGGTAGCAGTGCTGACCACTGAACCACTGTGCCACCTCTAAAGGTGAAGGTGAGTACAATGTTGTCATTTAAGAAACATTTGGACAGGTACATGGATGGGATAGTCATGGAGGGATATGGACCAAACACAGGCAAGTGGGAGCATGGACAAATTGGGCCAAGTTCCATGCTGTAAACCTTTATGACTCTGTAAAAGGACTGGTTATCATCACCAAAGCTCTCTTGCTGTCTTCTCCCCTCCTCCGCTTAAGAACCTTATTGGCAATTCAGTTCAGGGCTCCTTGTTTTGTTTGTGCTATTTATTAGATAAACTGGCAAAATCATGTGGACCCTCATGCTTTGTCTTTATGCAAAACTTGAATCTCAAAAGACTCCCTTTAAATGGTATATCAGATAGGCATTTAAACTGTGCACAGCTATTGCAGAATGGTGGATTTCTACCCTTATGTGTGACTGTTTGTGTGTTACCATCCTAATGTTTTTACATTAAACACTAATCCAGTAATTTGCATTCAGTTAGATGTTCAATACAGTTTCTGCATGAGAATAAAGCTTTTGCTGACTTTAAATTTAAGAGCAGTGGGAGATCATTGCTGCTTATTCTTTAAACTGTTAGCACCTCATTTATACCGTGCACTGTGGCTGGGTTAAATTTCTGCATGTAAATGGTGGATGGATCAATGCTGGCTTTAAGCCTGCAAATGTTGGACACTTCTTAAGAGCTGCTGCTTAAGAGACACTAGTTATTTCAAAGGGCTACAGCTTAAAAATGACTGAAATTACTATTAGTGATATATATCTTTGCAGAGATGTTAATCCAGTTAAAATGGACTGCATTGCAGAGCAATGTTGACTAGTGTTAAAGTATCACCTAGAGATTGCAAGAACTGCAGATGCTGGAATCAGAGTCAATACGATGTGGAGCTGAATGGTGTAAACCCGAAACGCTGACTTAACTGCTCCTCTGATGCTGCCTGACTGCTGTGTTCCTCCAGCTCTACATCGTACTGATTAGAAGTATGAACCACTAAACTTGATGACAATAATTTATAGGTCCAGATTCCTATATAAAGAAAGAATATAAGTAAGAGATAACAGGGTGTAGAACTGGATGAACACAGCAGGCCAAGCAGCATCAGAGGAGCAGGAAAGCTGACATTTCGAGCCTAGACCCTTCTTCAGAATGTAAGTAACTAGTGTTTATGTAGTTGAGTTCTGAGGAAAGGACATTCAACCCAAAACATCAACTTGATTTCTCTCCACTGATGCTGTCAGACCTGTTAAGGTTTTCCAGCAATTTCTATTTTTGTTTCTGATTTGCAGCATCTGCTGTTCTTACAGTTTTTATTTAGCATTCATGTCATGCTTTTCTGGATATCCCAAAGGACTTTACAGCTGATAAATCATTCTTTATGAAATGTGGAATATTAGCCAGGCTGTAAAGGTTCTGGTTGAGGGCTGTTTTAACTGCAGCAGAAATTTTGATGAGGTAAAACTTAAAAGAGGATCAAAGTTTGGCCAAGCCATCACAAGAATGATTAAACATGGGGGAGTCTTGAATGAAAGTTTCAGCAGGTTTGGAGAGTGGGATACTGCAGTGACTTGGGAACAGGTAGATAGTTAAATGGAATGGATAATCTCAACCTTAATGATAAAGACATACATCATTTTGTCATCATTTATTATTGGAGGAGTCAGGGAGGGGTTTAAATGAGATGAGGGATAAAAAAAATGAGGGGCATTTTTGCTTTCCAAGAACATGCTGGAGCAATGAGTAGTTTTGGTAGAGGAGATCCATGCCTGAATGTGTTTTTGTGGCCAAGCTAGATGTTATGTTGGATGGTTAAACCCGTGATAGGTTACAATATATTTAAGCCTGCATTTCTTGGAGTTTAAGGTATGAAAATGTGAGTCATGAGAAAGGGAATGATCAAGATGGTGAAGTGTTGCTCTGGATATAAAGATGGAGATTCAAACAGCTCAACTGCTGCAGAAATATTTTGGCAAATGGAGGGCTAGAGGTAAGACAGTTTATAATTTCGAAATAAGTCCATAAGACAAAAGAGCAGAAGTAGGTGATTCAATCCATCAAGCCTGTTCTGCCATTCAGTTAAATCATGATCTGAATTAGATTTGGTAGTCGTTAATGTAGCTTTCAGCCTTTTCTGCAGAACGCTTGATTCCCCTACTGATTAAATATCTGCCTGTCCCAGCCTGGAGCATAAGGTACAACCCAGCCTCGACAGTCCCCTGCGGTGGTGAGTTCCAGACTCACAACCCTCTGAGAGAAGAAATTTCCCTTCATTTCTATCATTAATGTGTGACCCCTTTTTCTGAGATTATGCCCTCTTGCTCTCGACACTTTCACAAGGAGAAACAAACATTTTGCATCTACTCTGTCAAGTCCCCTATGAATTATATATGTTCCATTAAGGCATCCTCTCATTATTGTATAATCCAATGAATACAGGTCCAATGTGCTCAAATAAAGCAAAGAGCTGTGGATACTGGGAAATGGCAGCATTTGTAGGAAGGGATCAAAGTTAAGGTTTTGAGTCCAGTGACTAAAGGAAGGTCCCTCCATGCCCGCTGTCAGC